AGTCTGCCGAAATCACAAATGCACAATAATGTCACTTCTGATCGTTACATTGATCTCTATATCGACAGTCTTATACATAATAAAGAATATTTTAGTTAGACCGCTTATAACTCAAGAACGGCCACAAATTCGGAATGTCTTCTTGCCAGAAAAGGATAAAAAATAAGATAATCGCGTGAATATATATCCATAAGAAAGTGAATATTTTTTATATTTTTGTGATATTTTTTATCGCATGCGATTTTTTCCTATTTGACTTACAATATTGAATTTTACGTTTGGTAATATTTTTTCACCTTATAACACTATGTTTTTGAATTATTATATTCAAGTCGAAATTATCATCCGATTCTCAAAAAATTTAGCATGTGGATAGAATTATGGTCAGAGTCCATCCAAATTGTCGGTCTCATAGACTCGGCTCTGCAACTAGTTTTTGTCTGTTCCTGTAAATTGTCAAAGAATGAAAATATATATCATTAATATATGCTTATAATACCAGAAGACGGAAGCGTTTTATTCTCATTATCATAGACAGAAATCATATTAAATTGGAAATATTTTAAGTTCCTTTTTAATTACGAAAAAAGTTTAATATATCCCCCATCATATGTCTCATGACAACAATTGTATTGCCTCATAATTTTGTTAGATCCAGAACATTTCAATTCATGCCTTATTGTTTTTCTCATCAAAAATAAAAATCTCATTAAAAGTCATGTACTGGGGTATGGTATAATTTTTTAAAAATATTCTCTCAAAGAAAAAACCAAACAATAGAGAGAGAGCGAGAGAAATGGTTGTGATTCCTAAATGAATTATCTCATCTTTTCCTTCCCAATAAATATACGAGAATATAAATATAATTTTAATTTTGTTTTTTTTTCTTGGCATAAATTTTCTCCTTATGTGGTATACTTAATATTATTTTAAAATGCATATTATTTTTATATTTTATTTTGATTTCTCCTTCCTTTCTTCGAGTAAAATATTTAATTTAAAAATTATTATTTTTATTATTTATTTTAATATTGTTTTTCGTTTTTTGTTTTCTTTTTTGAAATGTTTGATATGTCTAAGAGCTATTATCATTCGTTTTCAAATAGTATTGTTGTAATTTCACTGAAAGAGTGTTGTTGGCTCAGGGGTCGCCGACTAGATGCGATAACATTAAATAAGTTTTCATTTCTTTTTTTTTGTTTTCTTTACAGGTTTCAAATGTTTTCTTATTTTGTTGAGTTCATAAACTTACGTATATAATGAGTTGGGTTTTGGTTTTAGTTTTTTATTTTAAGTTTAGTTTAGTTTAAAGTAAAGAACATTGTTTTCATATATAAGATTTCTGGTTTAAAGTTGTTTTTTTTTTGTTTTTTACATTTATTATTTTTTACACACTTATGACACAATCACAACGCAGAGTATCGAGATAAGGTATGTTATGATTTTGTTTATAAATATTTAGGTATTTATGTATGTATATATATTTTCTAAATATATATATATTTTTTTAATTTGTAGTTATGTATATGTTCTAATATAATAATATTATTTGTTTTTTTTTATTAAAACTACATCTTAAGTATTATTTTTTGAAAATAATTATTATTTATGTATATATTTTTAGGATTTGGGGAAAAAATCAAGGGATTGTCATTACGAAAATGAAAAAAAAAACTTGTTAAAATTTAAAATTAATTTTAGTATATAGTTAAACCTAGTAATATTTTGTGTTTTTCATTTTTTTTTTAAATAGAAACAACCGTTTTATTAGTTTGTGTTTATGTTTTTTTCTGTCTGTCTCACTCTCATTGGAAGATATTGACCTCTTAGGCCAAATATTCCCACTAGTCCATTCCTAAAGAAAGAAACAAAAAAAATGAGTTGTATAGGCACAATTTAAGTTATATAATTGGATGGCATACACATAATGATCGGTGTGACATAAAATCGGTTATTATTTAAAAAATAAAATCAGCTATTTTTGAAATGAGATTTCGTGAGTAGTTTGCCCCAAAAGTTTAAAAAACAGTAAGATATTTTTTTGCTATGAATTTTGAAATTTTAAAAATTAGACTTTAAGGGAATGTATATTATACTTGCAATTCATACCGATGAAAAATCTGCCTTCAAATTCGAATCGATCTAGGCACATTGGAAATTTGACATTTTAAGAGATGTATAAAATTTGATTGAAATATACTGAAATATCAAAAATCATTTCTTTCTTTTACTTCAGCTTCAGCAATATTGATGCAAACAAAAGACTTAAGAAACAAACCTGTATTGTTTTCACTTGACAATTTGTGCGAAGCGAAGAAAAAAAATCAACTAAAAGTGTTTTTCTCTTTGTCGGTTTGAAATGGAAGGGAAATAATTGCCTTTGGAGATGATCGCAAAATACCAAAAACCGAAAAATTATAGACCAATCGACGCAGAATTTAGCAAGAAAAGATAATCGCCCAAAAATATGCCAATAAGAATGCGAATATTTTTTGTCAAAATTTCTATCGCATGCGTTTTTTTCACATTTGTAATCAGGTTAAAGTTAAAACGAATAAAGATAGAAAGCTAAAATTTTGCACAGATCTGCATTTCGTCTGCAGGTCAAGTTCGAAGAAGAGCTATATCGATCCACGATATCATAAAGCCCGCATATAATGGTACCGCTCGATATTCGGTATTTTGATGAATTGTCTGAAATTCCACACAAGGAGGATATCCACGATATCGTATATCCCCCATATAACGGCACCTTCCGATGTTCGGTATTTTTAACAATTTAATAGAATTTTTAATGGATTTTTTTTTTAAATTTCCTAATTCGTTCCGAACTTTCTGATTTTTTACTCGTTTAGGAATCATTTTTGGTTAACTTATTGGCAATGCAGGAGAATTGTTGTTGTTATTTGATCTACTGGTAATGCAGGGGGTATGTCGATATAACAGTCGACGTTAATTCGCCGTAAAAAATTTTGACGACATTGTATTTTTTTGGTCGAAATTGATATTTTAATGATTTCTATTTGACATTTGACTATGAAAATGACAAAAGCAAAACAATTTCGAAATATTGAAGTAATTTCTGGCACTGGCCTACGAAGATCCTGGCGCTTAAAACCTTAGAAAACTTTAGTTCTTAGTTTAAACATACCCACAAGAGAATATCTCTAAACCCAGAAAAGGTATTAGCACAAATTGTAGCTTTTCGGAAAGGTAAGAGTGTCAGCTATAATCCGAATCTTTGAATATATATCTTCCGAATCTTTAAGTAACCCACTTGTTGGATTGGTATTTTCATAATTTATATCTATATTGTATATACTGGGTTACCGGCTCCGTCCCGGCTACACCAAAACGTGGACCTATACAATGTTTGGCCACAAGAGCTAGAACCCATTATGACCTAAAAATACCAATTTATGACAAATCCGTTGAAAAATGTAGCAAAAATCATCAAAATACTGAATATTGAAAGGTACCGTTATATGGGGACTATACCAAAATTGTACAAATAGTTCTGCTAAATTTTGAAGCCCTTCGTCAAATAATGTGGGCTGTATCGTGTTTTCAACAGACAGACAGACAAATTTACAGACCGACGGATGTCGTTGAATCGACTTAGAATTTTATGCTGATTATTAATATATATACTTTATGGGGAAAATATATATTTTTTTTGAAAATTTCGGCCTTTTGTGGGGGAGGTACCAGAAGGAGTGGACCGATGTATTCCACCTTCACACCAGACCTTGGGTTAATAAAAATATTATCTTACTTCACATTTTATAAGAGTTGTTATTATTCAAAATGTTGACCCTTTGTGGGGCAGGTACTTGATAGAGTGGACCGGTATTGTCCATTTTTGCACTTGACCTAGCACTGAGAAAAATATTAGGATTCGCAAATCATCATTTCTCTTTCTGTGCAGAAAATATATTTTATTGGACAATTTCGACGTTTTGTGGGGGATGTACCAGAAGGAGTGGACCGATATTGCCCATCTCCGAACTCGATCTAAGTTTGACAAAAATATTACGATGTACAAAGTTTGGACCAAATCCGGTACTTCCTTAGAGAGTTATCGTGCCCACCAGCCAGCCAGACAGACAGACGGACGGACGGACATCGCTAGATCGACTCCAAATGTCCTGAAACTCCAAATGTCCTTTCCAAGGTGGAGGGTATAAAAATTACTTATGCAGAACCACGTCTTAGTACAGCCCCAATTTTAAAATTTTCATTTTTCAATGGATTTTTTGAAATTTTTCAAGAAGGTTTTAAAAGTTCGGTCCTGTCTAACTTAGCTGCTGTTTTACTTGTTGTAATTCTTGAAATGTTCACGACAATCTCCATTTTTTTTTTGGCGATACTTCAAATTACAACTTAAGTTGTACAAATTTTAGAATAAATTCCTGAATTACAATTAAAATACTTCAAATTTCATTTGAAAAAGTTGTATAGCGTTTTCTCACTTTCTTACTAATGAAATGGTACGAACTAAAACTAATATGTTTTGAATTGCATCTGGAGAAAGATGTTGTAGATGGGTCGTCAAGCGAAGACATTTTGTTCAGAAGATGAGCAGAAGTTTTTTTTAGAAATCATTGGAATTCACGAAAGGTATCGTAAATTTTAGACATATTTCATGAAAACGTATATTCATCCATACAAGTTAAGTAATTTTAAGAAAACTTACTCAATTTTTCCTGTTTAAGTTGAACATGTATTTTTTTTTTTTTTTTTGGATTAATAAAAAAGCTACATTTAAGTCATAACATATTTTAAAGTTTTTAAAACTTTGGAGGCATATCAAGATTTTTGTATCTCTTTCAAAATAATTTTATATTTTTTGGTGAGAGAGATGCATCTCTCTTCTCTCATGGATGTAAAAGGTGTGTCACCGTCATTCAAATGTATGCCACTGGACGTAAATTTGACAATTTATAACAAGTCTATTAAAAAAAAACTAAAATAAAATTAAATAAAAACACAAATAAACAATTAAGAAAAAAATTCAATGAAATAACAATTTATTTCTTGTTTCATTTTTTTTAAAAGATTGATTATAATAATTGTAATAAGTTACAGTTTAGATATATAAATTGAGTAATAAATTAAACTAAAAACACATAACACAAAACAATAAAAAAAAGTTGCTACATATATTATAAAGAAATTTATAATAAATAAAATTAAACAGATTTAAACTAGAGATATAGAAAATTGCCTACTGCTGTCATTCGTTACAATAATTTTAACATTCCTTTATTTTTGTAAGATGAAAGTTTGTTTTTATGGATCTACTGAATTTCATGGCTATAATTTTGAAATTCTATCCACATATAAGTTTTGAATATAAAGTAAAGAACCATTGTTGTTGATGTTTTTTTCATTTCAGAGACTTAATTAGGTTTTGATTCAGTTAGGCTGTAATAGTAGTGGTAGTAGAAGTAGTAGTTTTGTTTGTTTTTTTTTTTTTTTTTTTTTGTAATAGTAGAAAATAACAACACTTTTACACACTTACAATAGTAATAATTATATCGTATGTATAGGTATAGATAGGTAGATAATTATTCATTACAATTTATAATAATATTATTAATAATAATAATAATAGTAATAACAACAAAGACTTACAAACTATTATAAAAATATCTTCAATGATCGCAATAGTAATAGTAATGATGCTAAGGGTGATGATGATGCTGTTGATAAGGATGACGGATGAGTTTTTCACTTACAATCTATATTTTTGTGTGTGTGTTTGTGTAGGTATGTATGTTTTGGTTTGTATGTTATTTTGTATATTATTAGCTACATAACATTTAATTTAATTATTTGTTTTTTTTTTTGTTTTATAGAAATAAATAAATATTTCTTAAGGTGGTTTCTTAAGTATCAAGTCAATAGAGATAGAGTGTTTGTTTTGCTTCGTCTTCTTCTTTTATATATTTTTTTCTCCCTTTTTTTCTTCTTCCTCTTCTTTGTTTAATAATACTTAATAAAGTTTTTTTTTTTAATTTTAATTTTTGTTAAAATTAATTTATATTATTACTAGATTTTCTTTTAATTGTTTTTAAAGAGATATTCATTTTAAAAGAAGGCATTGATGGAAAATTATAAGGAGTTTTTCATTGTTGATTTTCCTTTTTTTTTGTTTTTTTGAAATAAGTAATGAGTGAGCATTTGTTTTATTTTTACAATTGAATTGTAGTTGATTCTTTTTCTAGATTCTTGTTTTAATTAAAAACGTTAAAAATATTTAGTTATTTTTTACTAAATAAGAGCATCTTGTGTGTGTGTGTTTTTGGTATGCGTATGCGTGTCAAGACAGATAATAAGTGTTTTATATTTTGACAATACAACCATGGAAAATTGCTGAACGATTTAGTTTTGTAATATTCGTTTGATTTTTTTATTTGATTTTTTTTTTTTAAAAAATAATTATAGTTTTAGGAAGCTTTCAGTGAAAGAGTTTGATAGTTTTAAATAACTTTGTTAAAATGCTCTGGTGTATATTATAATTGGAAAACTTTAAAACTAAAACTAAGAGTCAGCTTATATTTTTTGAAGAGTATTTTTTAAATTTTCGTCAAAAAAAAAAAAAATAGTATAAAACTTGCATAGAACTGATACTCATTACTGTGGACATCCTTAAAACGACTATTAAAGACCTTATCTTTTTACAGACAAAAGACTTAAGACACATACCTATATTTTGCTTATTATACCCTAGACCATGTAGTGGTAAGGCTATTATGTCGATGTGCATTTGTTTGTAACATGGCAAAAGAAGCGAGATAGACCAATAATTATTTTTAAGGATCTTCATAGAATCACTTTGTGAGTCGATTTATGTTTGTCAGTCCGCCAGTCTGTCCACATATTTTTGTGAAAAAAGGCAGGTCTGATACATTATCCATCTCAGATGAAATTTTCCAAAAAAAAAAATTGTTTTTGCCCAAGAACCCTATTGAAATTGGCGAGAATCGGTTCAAATTTAGATATAGCCCCATACCGGGTGAGATCAAAAAAAACCTGCAACCAATTTCTGACTGCTGTGACTTTTAAGCCACTCGTCCAACAGCTGGTAAAATTATTCCAGTGACAGCTCATTATATTGTTTACAAGCGCACAAAAGCATTTTGGTGAGAATTTTCCGGAAAAAAAAGTTATTCGTGATGGAATTCAAGCGTGATAGTGTGGTTTCTTTATATTCGGCTGGAAAACAACAAGTGGCTATCGATAGAGCACTCCAGCATTTTAATGTGAATAAATCTTTTGCGTCTCGTACCATCGCTCGTTACCGTGATACTGGTAGCATAGCCCGGCGTCAAGGAAGTGGACTGAAGAAGAAACCAGCAACATCAGCAGTAATAGTTCGAAAAGTAACAAGTTAAAAAGCAGTAAGTTCAGCCGGGCCGAACTTTTAATACCCTCCACCATTTGCAACGAATTTGGAAATTTTCAAAAAATAAAATCCTTAAAAAAATTCTGTTAAAATTTTAAAAATACAAACTACAAACTTCAAATACCACATCTCAAACAATTCCGGTGAATAATGTCGCTAAAATCATCAAAATACTGAATATAGGGAGGTACCGTTATATGGGGGCTATACGAAGACATGGACTTGCACAGACAATTTTCTATCTTAGGGTGTAGTATCCATTTGGAACTTCAAATACCAAATTTGAAACAATTCCGGTGAATAATGTCGCTAAAATCATCAAAATACTGAATATAGGGAGGTACCGTTATATGGGGGCTATATGAAAACGTGGACCTACATGGCCCATTTACGAACATAACCTGCCTACTGGATAAATAGACAGACAGACAGACGGACATCGCTTAATCGACTTAGAATTTTACGCTGATCAAGAATATATATACTTTATTGGGTCTGTTATGAGTATTCCGAGGAGCTACAAACGGAATGACAAAGTTAATATACCCTCCATAGTATGGTGGAGGGCATAAAAAAGCGACTTGATCCAAACCCGCGTCGCAGTGGCCGAAAAATAGCTCGTGATCTGAGCATATCGCAATATTCCATTCGGAAAATATTAAAAAAGTAGCTCGGGGTAAAGCCATGGAAATTCCAAAAAGTGCACGAACTCACACCGCAACAGAAAGATAATAGACTCAAAAAGCTAAAGAGTTGCTTCGCTTGGCCGAAAGTGGTGAACTGCCGAATTTGGTTTTCCCCGATGAGAAAACATTAGTTTTTCAGCAGTTTGTATACAAGCAAAATGATCGTATTTACTTGCCAAAGAGGTCAGCTGAAAATGTGCACCTTTTGTTGGTCACCAGAACTCAAGCGCCGGCCACGGTGATGGTGTGGGCCGCCATAACATCCGATGGTCGCTCTTCGCTTGTATTAATCGATCGTGGCATCAGAATAAATACGGAATATTATCGCGAAAATATTCTGGAGGGCGTAAGACTTGGGCACGCAAACATTTTGGCCGCGGACCTTGGACATTCCAACAGGACTCAGCACCATCGCTCTCAGCATGTACCACCCAAGAATGATTACAAAATAAGGTTCCTCGCTTCATTTTCAGCGCACAATGGTCACCAAAATCACCGGATACCAATCCTTTGGACTATTGTGTCTGAAGTATTTTGGAAAGCAAGGTTGGCACTAAAAAATACCAAAGTATCGATAACCTCAGGCAAGCGCTTCGCCGGGAATGGGCCAAAATACCGCAGAGCAATATTCGGGCAGCGTGTGACGGTTTCATTGGCCGTTTGAAGGCCATAATTCGTGCCAAAGGCGACCAATTCGAACAAATCTAAACGTATTCTAAAATTTGATGCTATTTCCGACATTTTTTGATTTCATTCAATAAAATTAAAAAAAGTGAAAATGATGGCCTTTGACTTTGTTGCCGTTTTTTATCTCACCCTATAATTGAAATATAAAGGGTCCGCAATTTTTTTTTCTTTTTTTTTTTTGAGTTAATGCTTTTTGTGAATGGTAACATTTAGCTCGTGTCTGAGGAAAATTGCTCACGGATTTTGAAAGAAGAGAAGCTCCATCAGCTCAATATTCGTTATCTTGTAGGAAATGTGAAAGGGACTGGCATCGTCATGGATAAATTAAAGCGTGAAATACTGCTATGACAGTAGTCCATTCACCGTCCTTCCCAACGACTAAACATTTTGCAGGCATTGAGGCATTGAGAAGAAGTTTTTCATAAAGACCTTAGTATAACGCTATACAAAGTCCAATTAGTTCAGAAGATGAAGACAAAGTTTTAGCTTTGCCGTTCTTGCCAAAAAAATCATCATCTACATCTTTTCAGATGAAGCCTATTTTGGGCCATTTTCTTCGAAAATAAGTAAGGAGTGGCCATTACAGTCAATGCCATAACAGATGTTTTGCGCCCTCTATTTAAAGATCGTACTATCAGCCATAGAGTTGAGTTTGGTCAGACCTGATTTCAGCTGCGATTTGAAAATAAAATCCGTTAAAATGTATGTTAAAATCTTAAAAATACCGAATATAGCCGTTATATAAGGGTATATACGACGACGTGGACCTGCATAGGCAACTTTTGTCATAAGCAATTACAATACTTAAATGCAAAACTTGAAAAAATATGTTGGGGCTATACGAAGACCTGGACCTGAACAGACAGTTTTCTCTCATAGGCTGCAGTAACCATTACGAACTTTAAATACCAAATTTGAAACAAATTTAAATAATGTCGCTATAATCACAAAATAATACCGAACAAGTAAAAAAAAAAAAAACATTAAGTTCGGCCGGGCCAAATTTTTAATACCCTCCACCTTAGGGTAAAGGAAACATTAGAAGAAATGTGACAACAACCATTAAAATGCCGAATATTGGGAGGTATCGTTATATGGGGGCTATACCAAATCGTGGACCTACACATGCAATGTTTCGCCAACGGAGCTAGAACCCATTATGACCTACAAATACCAATTTTTAGACCAATCCGCGAAAATATGTGGCAAAAATTATCAAAATACCGAATATCGGGAGGTACCGTTATATGGGGACTATACCAGAACGTGGACCGATATATCTCATTTTCAATAACAACCATCCTAGACACAATGCAAATTGCTCTGCTAAATTTTGGCTCTCTACGTCAAATAATGTGGGCTGTATCGTGATTTCAACAGACAGACAGACAGACAGACGGGCATCGTTAAATCGACTTAGAATTTTATGCTGATTATGAATATATATACTTTATGGGGTCCACGACGAATATTTAAGGATGATACAAACGGAATGACAAAGTTAATATACCCTCCTTTCCAAGGTGGAGGATAAAAAAATTGTAAAGAAGGGTAAAATTTACCATCACCTCGGTAGTTAGAAATTTGTTGCGTTTGCACAAAATGAGTTGCTCTAAATTTCCCAATATGCTATATCCAGCTAGTATTAAACTTTTGCGGACTAGATCTTCCGATCCATCTTACGGTAACATATAGGATTTTTTTGAAATCTGTTAATTTGTTTAAAAATCGTTTAATAATTTTCAAAAAATTAAAAATTCGGCTTATATAAATTCCTCAGAATCCACTCCACACACTTTAAGTTTTCAAACGAATGAAAGCTTAAGATGTTATCTGTCGAAAAAAGAGGATAGATGGAAAATCTCTATACATTTCAAAGTTACGACATGAATTTAAAAATAAAAACAGGTTAAATAGTATCAGTCAGTTTCACGACAGATATATACCCTCAGCCTGTTCATTAAAATATATTTTGAAGTTTTTGATTTTCAAGATATTGGAAATTACAGAACACCAATATTGTTCATTTCGCATCTGACCTAAGTCTAATATAAAGAACTTCCTACACGTTATATCAGATATATGTATATATTTCTTGAAAAAAATGAACTTTTGTGGGGATGGTACCGGAATAAATTTTGCAAACGTTACATTAGTTCAATGGTTGATAATTACATTGAGTTTGCGGAAAATCGCAAACTTCTTTTCCATGCGAGTTATTCAAAATTTTCATAACTGATGGTGAAGGTACCAGAAGGAGTGACCCGACGTTGCTTTTATAAAAGAATTTTAAAAGGCTTATAATTTTTTCACATTTTTAACATTTTTAATTCGCATTTTATGGGCGTTTTGGTTATTCAAAATTTTGACCCTTTGTGGGGGAGATACCAGAAAGGGTTGTCCGCTATATCCCATCTTTACACCAGATTTGATAATGGTAAAAATATTTGAATTTTAGATATTACAAATTTGGACCCTTTGTGGGGGAGGTACCAGAAGGGGGATCCGCTATAACCGATATTCACGCCAGATCTTGTCTTGATAGAAATATTGGGATGCGTGAAGTTTGGAAAGATTCGAATGTTCATATCGCATTTTATAAGCCTTTTGGTTATTCATAATTTTGGGCCTTTGTGGGGGAGTTACCAGACGGAGTGACCCACTATACTCCATCTTTACACCAGATTTTATAACAGTAAAAATTTAGGAATTTGTGAAAATTGAAGTGAATCTGATGCATATTTCGATTTTATGAGTATTTTAAATATTCAAAATTTTGAACCTTTGTGGGGGAGGTACCAGAAGGAGAGATCCGTTGTTATATTCTATCTTCACCCCAGATCTTGTTTCGCTAGAAATATTGGGATGTGTGAAGTTTTCTAAAGATTCGAATGTTCATTTCGCATTTTATGAGCATTTTAGTCATTCCAAATTTGGACCCCTTGTGGAGGAGGTACTGGAAGAAGTAGTCCGAATATGTCCCTTCTCACACTCAATTTTGCAGTAATGTATTAATTACGTTTTGCAAAGTTTGAACAAAATCAGATGATCCCTTCACTCCCTATGCAATAAATTATTTTCTATGAAAGTTTTGACTTATTGGGGGGGAGGTAGCAGAAAGAGTGGACCGATATTGCAAATCTTGGAACTCGATCTAAGTTTGACTAAAATATTACGATGTACCAAGTTTGGACCGAATTGGATACTAACTTGGAAAGTTATTGTGCGTTCCAGCCAGGTAGACAGTCGCACGGACGAACATCGCTAGATCGACTCCAAATGTTCTGAAACGGTTTGGTCCAAAGAGACCTAGGGTCTAAGACCGTAATTTCGACTAGACACGTTTTGACCATATCAAATGATAAATACCCTCTCTAGGCATGTGTCTGAGGGTATAAAAAATTCCATGTGGATCTCCATTCCAAGACTTTATGAGAATAAATCATATTGTATGAATAGAAACATTTTTTGAAGAAAAATATACCAAAAACTTCTTATCTAGATTCCCAGTTAAAAATTTCTCTTCTGAATAGTTTGCGTTGGCCCCCTTTTTATACCCTACAACACTATGTGTTGGGGGTATTATAAGTTTGATTGGGCCAAAAATTATGTAACACCACGAAATATTGGTTTCCCACATAGGAGAGTATATGTGGATCTTTCTAGCTCGCCGAGCTGAGTCGATCTAGCTATGTATGTCCGTCCGTCAGTTCATGTTAATTTGTAATCAAGCTACAGGTCGCAATTATGAACCGATCCTCACGAAATTGAAAATGGAGGTGGGGTTAGGGTCAGAATAGAACCCTATTGTTTTTGGAGATGATCGCACGATATTTAGGGGTTAAAATGGATTTTCCTGATTTTGCAGTTGCTCTATAGGTCACAATTATGAACCAATCAACGCGAAAGTTTACATGGAGTTAGAGTTTGGGACTGGGCAGAAACCTTCCAATATGAGCGGCCATCGGACAATAATTAGCGGGTATAATAGACCCTTACTTTTATGTTAGAAAATAGGAAAATTTCCACTTAACCGCGAATATTTTTAATCCCAGCCAAATCACAAATACCTTAAAAGATCACTTCTGACCATTACAGTGATGCTAAAAGCCAAAAAATCGGATATATACTAAAATAGGTACAATATATATGTAGAAGAATTGATCTTATCTATTCTGCTTATAAATCAAGAACCGCTGGGCCGATTTTCACAATTCATATCAATTCGGAATGGTCTCTTGCCAGAAAAGGATAAAATCTAAGAAAATCGCGGCATAATATACCAATAAAAAAAGTTATATCTTTTGTTGAATTTTTTCCCAGTTTTGTCATATTTTTTTTATCGCATGCGATTTTTTCAATTTGACTTACAATTTTGAATTTTAAATTTTCTAAATTTTTACACCCCCCAAAACTACGTTTTGAGGGTATGGTATGAATGTCGCAATTATCGTCCGATCCTCACGAAATGGAGGTGGGTCGGAATTGAAGCCTATTGTTCTTAGGTTTTGCATTTAGAGGTTTAAATGGCCAACAATTTTAAATTTTTCTAATTTGGCCACAATTGAAAACTAATCGACACGAAATTTCACATCGGAAGAGAGTTGAGGACAGAGAAGAAGTCTAGCATTTTGGATGACCATTGGATTATATTTAGCTGTAAAATGGGCCACAACTTTCGTGTGCTCTTTGGCATTATTTCAAAAACGAAATCTTCGAAAATGGTTTTGCATATAAAGGGACTTGGAACATATTGTAGTGTTATAGGGTATCACATGGTTGGCCCCGCAAGACTATGGCCTTTCCTTACTTGTTATTTATAGTGTTTAATTTCCCATTATAATATAACCAGAGCATTTTCATTAAAGAGTTTTAGAGCTGAAAACATTTAAATAGATTAGAAAAATAATTATTTTCATGAAAGACTAGTGTATAAAAAAATAAAATTAAGTGTTTAAATGATCAAATTGTTTTCTTTGGAAGGCTTGTGATTCATACCATTTTGTTTTTTTTTTTTTTTTTTGGTATATAATACAATTTTAACTTAAATTACATTTTTTTGATTTTAATTCTAAAAAAACAATAAATAAATAAATAAAGAGAGTGTCTTTTTTTGGCATTGTTTTATTTTGTGTTTGTGTGTGTGTATTTGTTGGACTTATTCAATTCTATGTACAAACATACAAATAAGACAAAGAAATTAAATAAATTATTCTACTACAATAAGGTTTACATGTATGTAAGTATGTCATTTTTAAAATAACATTTAAAGATAGAAATGAATCAAAACGAAAACATCAATTATATATATATACTATTAATTATATTTTCAAAATTAGATATGAAAAAATTATTTAATTTTCAAAATATTTTATTATATTATTTAAATGTGTTTGGGTGTGTGTGTGTGTGTGTGTTTAAATCTCACTCGTTATCACGTGTAAATATTAAAATTAAAAAAGTTAAACAAATTAATTTAAAAAATAATTTAAAAATATATATAAATTAATAAACATATATATTGTATATGACTAGTATTGTTATAAAAATAAGACATTGAACAACGCTTAGAGCCTTAAATCTTTGGCAAGAAAATAAGTACTTTAGAGTTTTACACTTTCTCTTTTGACTAAATTAACATAAAATTGAGACTAAATGTCATTTAAATAATTTCCAAGTTTCTGCTCTAACTTGTTGTTGTTGTTTTTGACATTGAAATGCTGTTTCAAAATTATTAGCTATAACAAAAGTTTTTTATTTTATTTTTTTTTTATTTAACTTAGTTTACCAAGTTTTTTTCCTTCTCACTTAGCTGGCCATTTGTGTGTCTGTGTGTTGAGTTGAGTGTTGAAAGAAAAAATATTGAAATTATTATTAAAAAATTTTAATTTTTTTTTTTTTTTTTTTTGGTTTTTTGCTTTAGTGGCGATTGTCATTTAACATTTTTGTTTTCTCTACACATTATCTATGATTTTTGCTTTTAATTTTTTTTTCTTCTATTTTGTTGTTTGAAATTTCTTAGGGTTTTTGTTGTTGTTGTTTCTGTAGGAATATTGGATTTTCTTGAATTTGTATTTTCACCTTTTGTTTTATTAAATCTTTTGTTATGGTTGTTGTTGTTGTTGCTGGGACTGGTGCTGTTGCTGTTGCTGTTGTTGATTATGTTGCTGTTGCACGGCATGATTTTGATTATTTGTAATTTGTACCGAGGTTTCATTGTCCGTAACACGATGGGTCTTCATGTGGGCACTGCGACTCTTAATTTTATTGAATACTCTGAAACAAAATTCACAATTGGCAGAAGGGGAAAAACCAAGAGACTCATTAATTGATAATATTTGAAAGGCAAATGAAATTATTTTAGATAAAAAATAGAGTTTTTTTCAGTTCAAGAAAGCCTTAAAAATACAACGGCAGGGGCGTTTTTTTTTGGAATAGACATGCATAATATATTTTTCTAAATTATAATTAGGATTTTTTGCCAATTTCATTTTAAAAAGACATTTATCAAGCGTTTGCATGCCAACAGCAAGAGGTATTAAGAGTTCTACATGTTTTTCGTAATTATTTTTTTTTTTTTGGTTACTTATCTGTGTTTTTGTTGCAATGTTGAAAGGCGTGGACAGAGAGCAGGTGATAGTTAAAAATGATTTTTTTTATAAATAAAATGTAAATGAAGAGGACTTAGTTAAGGGAAAAGTGAGTAGAAAAATATGAAAATAAAAATAAAACGAATTGAGTGGAAAAAGTCATCAAGTTCGGCCAGGATGAAAGTATTTTAACCTAAATTGATATTTCAAGGATATTTTCTAAAAAAACTTAAGAGTTCTCTTCGATGTCATACGCAATATATATGTATACCCATGTAGGGTAATTCATTTATATTTGACAGATTAATTTTTTTTAATTGAGATTCGTGTTTTTGTAATTGAAAATTTTTATTCTTATAAAATATAAGGCTGATCTATTTTTTCCAATAGCTATTAAGTTCCAAAGTCGAATACACAGGGTGAGATGAAAAAACTGCAACCAATTTCAGACCGCTGGTATTTCTTAGCCACTCGTCCTACAGCTGCTACAATTATTCCAGTGACAGCTCATTGTATTGTTTACAAGCGTACAAAAGCATTTTGGTGAGGTATTTCCAGAAACGAAGTTATTCGTGATGGAATTTAAGGGTGATAGTGAGATTTCTTTATATTTGGCTGGAAAACCGGAAGTGACTATCGTTAGAGCACTCCAGCATTTAAATGTGAAAAAATCGTTTGTGTCTCGTACCATCGCTCGTTACCGCGACAGTGGTAGCGTAGCCCGACGTCAAGGAAGTGGACGGAAGAAAACAGCAACATGAGCAGAGATGGTTCGAAAAGAAGCGACTTGAGCGAAACACAGATGCCGAAAAATGGCTCGTGTTCCAAATATATATATTTTATTCGGCAAATATTAAAAAAATATCTCGGGGTAAAGCCATTGAAATTCTAAAGAGTGCAAGAACTTGAGGGTCACAATTCGTGCCAATGGTGACCAATTCGAAGAAATCTGAACTTATTCTAAAATTTGATGCTATTTCCGACATTTTATGCTTTTATTCAAAAAAAAATTAAAAAAAAATTATAAATTATGGCGTTTGACTTTGGTGCAGTTTTTTTTGTCTTACCCTGTATATAAATGTCGGAGTCAAGAGCCACGAAATGAAAACGTACGCCACGAAGTTCACTCCATTTGGTTTAATATTAGCCATTATTTCCACAATAAACCCGAAACGGGATTAAGGATGTATATGGGAGCTATATCCAAATCTGAACCGATCACGCTAAATTTTGACAAAGGTATATCTGAGCTCTATAAGATATCTGGTATCAAATATCATTGTTGTGGAGTACATATTACAAATGTGAGGGACTTAAAGATCAAATCGGATGAAACATATATGTGGGAGCTATAGCTATATCTGACCCGATTTTCATCAAATTTGATGTACTTGCTTGTGCCGGATGTGCCAAAATTCAGTACTGATATTGGCCATTTGGACTGATATTGGCTATTTGGTGCACAATTAACCCGAAATCGGTGGAAGATATGCAGGGTGAGATAAAAAGACTGAAAAAAGTCAAATGCTATAATTTTTAATTTTTTTTTTTAAATTTTATTGAATGAAAGCTAAATAGTTTTGGACCATTCCCGGCGAAGCGCTTGCTTGAGGCGTTTGACACTTTGGTATTTTTTCTAAAATACTCCAGACACAATAGTCCAACGGATTGGTATCCGGAGATTTTGGTGGCCATTGTGCGCTGGAAATGAAGCGAGGAACCACTTTTTGTAACCATTCTTGTGTGGCGCGTGGTGAGTGCGATGTTGCTGAGCACTGTTGGAATGTCCAAGATCTGCGGCCAAAATGTTTGCGTGCCAAAGGCTTTAATACAACCTCCAGAATATTTTCGCGATAATATTCGGCATTTATTCTGATGCCACGGTCGATTATTACGAGCGGAGAGAGACCATAGGCTGTTATGGCGGGCCACACCATCACCATGGCCGGCGCTTGAGTTCTAGTGGCCAACCGAAAGTTCATAGTTTCAGCTGATATCTTTGACAATTAAACACAATCATTTTATTTGTTTACAAACTGCTGGACAACCAATGTTTTCTCATCGGGGAAAACCAAATTCGGCAGTTCACCACTTTCGGCCAAGCAAAGCAACTCTTTACCTATTTTGAGTCTATTTTCTTTCCGTATATTTATTTCCGTTCTTGCTTTACCCCGAGCTCATTTTCAATATTTGCCGAGTGGAATATTGCGACGAGGCAGAAAATTATTTGTGCAGGTCCACCTGTTGAAAATATTCCGTATCTTAATGATTTTAGCTACATTAACATTACATACATTTTTTTCAAGTTTCGCATTTGAATATTGTATTGGCTTATGACAAAAGTTGCCTATGCAGGTCCACGTCGTCGTATGGACCATAACAATAGACGAATATAGCCATTCGATATTATTAAGATTTTAACAGATTTTATTTATTTATTTATTTTTTTTTGAAAATTTATTTATTTATTTATTTTTTTTTTTTTTTTTTTTTTTTTTGAAAATTGTCAAATTCGTTCCAAATGGTGGAGGCTATTCGAAGTTCGGCTCGGCTGTTGTTTTAGTAGTCATGAATAGCTATATATTTAAAAAACACGTTCATCTTAATATTTATTGTAACATCTTGTGTTTTATAAAGTTTTGCTAACATCTACCCCTTTTATATTCCAAAATGAGTCAAAATATTATTTCAAACCTATTTTTTAACCCGAATTCAATAATTTTTGAAATGCTTTATTCAAAGCATTAAGCCCCTTTATGCTAAAGTACTGCTGCATATCTTTATAAAAATACCAATCCATCACCTAGAAAGTACATTTTCAAAACTAGGGAAAGTCGAGTGTTAGAAATCGCATTCAGAAGACAAAAGTGAGAGAGGGAGGGAGTGAGAAAGCAGACTTGTGTAGTTATGAAATTCTGTTTCGAATAATTCAATATGTAAAACTATAAAAAATAACAAACAGCGAAATGTTCTTAATTTTTTTTGTGGATATATACAAAGTTGAGAAAAATTTCGGAAGTAGTCATAAAAATTACCAATTTTGGGGAGTTGCTTTCATTATCAAAAGAAAAAAGAACATAACATGGAGAAATTTGGAATTGGTGATTAAAAATAAATCTTTAGAGATTGTATTGTTGTTGCTGGTGAGGAGGGGGCGTAATGAGAAAACAGAAAACAAAACTTAACCATTCTGGTAAAACTTACAATTACAATCCAAGTTGCTGAAGAGTTAGGCTGGTCTAATTTATTTATTTTGGTGATTCTGATTGAATACATTTATTTGCCATTTATCAATTTGTGAATTGTAGGTATTTTCATAAATTGTTTATCTTTTTTTCAGTTTTTGGTTGGGGGGTGTAGTTGTTGAACAACAACAACAGGATTTAATGTTGTACTAATTTACTTTGCGACGTTGAAGTGTTTTTCTTTTCTTTTCTTTGCTTTTATTTTCTTTTTATTTCGATTTGGTTTTCAACGACTTTGTTTAAAAACTTCTATGAGCTGTGAATTTTCGCTTTTGGATGTTCATTTTTTTTTTTTTTTTTTTTTGGTTTGTTCAATTTAAAAAAATTGTATAGAAAATACATATTGAAAAAATACAACAACAAATAAACAACAATTATTAATATTTATATACGTTTTTGTGAACAAAGCTAAAATGTAAATGAAATTGGTAAATATTTTTTATAAGAATTTACATATCAGGGAAACAGAAAATTAATTTATATATATTTGTATGTATATAGTATGGGCTAGGGTTTCATCTAATAAAGCAACGAGGGTTTCTTCAACAAACACACATACGTAAGGTTTACTATAATATTAATATTATGTAAAATTATAAAATCAACTTCAAGCCAACAAAAACAATAAAAAATAAATAATAAAAAAATAAGAAGTACGCTGTCTCATTATAAGTGTCCATGACAACACTCAAAATACTGACAGATTTTCAAACATAACCGGGTTAAGTGTTTAAAAAACTAGCGTGCATTTCTCCATAATTTCTAGGAACTGTGAGAAGCAACAAATAGAAATAAAAGTTTGGAAAAATCAAGAGATAAATTCGAATTTTACCGAAACGTTGTATAGGGTTTACTTTTTCTCTAGGTCACAACTTGGCATGACTTTCATTTTTTTTTTTTTAATCTCATATAAATCGACAATTTTATTCCCTCCACCATTCTGGAAGGGTATATTAACTTTGTCCTCCCGCTTGCAATTCCTCGAAATATTTGTAATAGACCCTATTCTGGATCAGCGTAAAATTCTAAGACGATCTAGTGATGTCTGTCTGTCTGTCTGTCTGTCAATCTGTCTGTTGTAATCACCCTATCTTTTGAACGAATTGAGATAGAAGGCTAAAATTTGGCATACATACATAGTTTACCAGTAGGCAGGCTGAGTTCGTAAATGGGGTTTTCGTATAGCCCCCATATAACGGTACCCCCTTATATTTTCATGACTTTAGCGACATTATTTACAAGAATTATTTCGTATTTGATGTTCATAATGGGTGCTACAGCCTATGACAAACATTTTTGTATGCAGGCACCTCCCGCGATTCCGTATTTTGATGATTTCAGCAACATTATTGAAATGGATTTGTTTCGAATTTGGTATTTGAAGTTCGTAATGGATACTACAGACTAAACAGAAAATGGTCCACGTCTTCGTATAGCCCCCATATAAAGGTACCCCCCGATTTTCGGTATTTTGATGATTTTAGCGACACTATTCACCAGAATTATTTAAAATTTTTTTCATTTGATGTTCGTAATGAATACTACAGTTATAGCCCCCAATAATGGTTTTTAACGGATTTTACTGTTTTTGAGAATTGCCAAATTCGTTGCAAATGGTGGAGGGTATTCAAGGTTCGGCCCGGCCGACTTACAGCTTTTTTACTTGTTTTTTTTTTTAATTTTATTTAAGCCGACATTTTGTATACCATTCACCATATATAGTATGGGGGTGAATTGTCTATATAAGTCCAGGATATCGTATATCACCTATATAACGCTACCTCCCGATATTCGGTATTTGGATGATTTTAGCCACATTTTTTCAACGGAATTGTCTGAAATTCTACAGAAGGAGTTCCTTGTGAGTACTTTATTCCCTGAAAAAGAATGGTCTATATAGGTTCACGATATCGGATAGCCCCCATATAACGGTACCTCCCTATATTCGGTATTTTCATGATTATTTACTGGAATTATTTCAATTTTCGTTTTTGAAGTTCATAATGGGTGCTACAGCCTATGACAAAATTTGTTGTATGCTGGTCCACGTCTTCGTATAGCCACCATATAACGGTACCTCCCGATATTCGGTATTTTTATGATTATAGCGACATTATTTACTGGAATTATTTCAATTTTCGTATTTGAAGTTCATAATGGGTGCTACAGCCTATGACAAGATTTTTTGTATGCTGGTCCACGTCTTCGTGTAGCCCCCCATATGACGGTACCTCCCAATACTCGGTATTTTTATGATTTCAGCAACATTATTCACCGGAATTGTAAAAAAAATCATAATGAAAGTTCGTAATGGGTACTACAGTCGTATTTAGGTTCACGTTTTCGTATGTCCCCCATATAACGGTACATCCCGATATTCGATATTTTGATGATTTTAGCCACATTATTCACCGGAGTTGTTTCACATTTGGTATTTGATGTAATGGGTACTACAGCCTGTGACAAAAAATTTCGTAAGCAGGTCCACGTCTTCATACAACAGTTTTAATTTAAGTGGTAGTTTCCGGAAGTATTTTCAAGTTCCTTCCAAATGGTGGAGTGTATTAAAAGTTCGCCCTGCCGAACTTAGCTGCTTTTTTTAGTTGTCCATATTATTTGAGTCAAAGCATTGCTTAAGACATTTATATTTCGTAGGACAATAGTTCTATAGTGGTGATGCCCCAAATAATTAACTGTAAGTTAATATTCTAATTTCTCAGCATGTAGTATTAGTTTCCGTAAGAACTTTTCAATATTTGTTAAATTTTTTGTATATCACATATATCCCACTTAGCTAAAATATCAAAAATGTTACCATTTCGAAGGGGACTAGGGGATCAGCTCTAAACACATTTTTATACCCTCAGCCATATGGCTAGAGAGGGTATATATAATTTGATACGGTCAAAACGAGCCTCTTCGAAATAATGGGGTTAGACCCTAGGTCTCTTTGGACCAAATCCATTTCAGGACATTTGGAGTCGATGTAGCGATGTCCGACCGTCCGAATTTCTATTGGTCTCGCACGTTAACTCTCGAAAGGTGTATCTGATTTGGTATAAACTGGGTACATCGCAATATTATTATCAAACTTAGATCTAGTTCGGCGATGGACAATGTCGGCCCATTCCTTCTGGTATCTCCACCATAAAAGGTCGACATTTTCAAAAAAAAATGTTTCACTGCACAGAAAGAGAAAGGATGATCCGATTTTCCTCCTACTTTGCAAATCATATTATTTGCATCAGTGTTAGGTCAGGTGCGAAAATGGTCCACTCCATCTAGTACCTCACCTCCAATGGGTTAAAAATTTGAATATTTATATCTCTTATGAAACACGATATATCCATCCAATTCTTTTCAAATTTCACAAATCTGAATATTTTTTATAACACAAGATCTGGTGCGAAGGTTCGATGTATCGGCTCACTCCTTCTGGTACCTTCCCTACAAAGGGCTAAAATTTGGAACAATTATAACTGTTATAAAATTTGAAATATGAGTCCGATGGTCTTCAAATTTGGTACATCTTAATATTTCAACCAACACAATATCTGATATAAAGAACCGATATAATGGACCACTGCTTCTGATACCTCTCCCACATAAACAGGCATCCGATTGCATGCAGACTTGTTATAAAGTTGGTAGATATCGGACCATTTCTTCTGATACCTCCCCCACAAAGGGTCGAAGTTTTGAATAACCAAAACAATTATAATATCCGAAATAAACATCCGGTTCTCTTCACATTTCGTACATCCCATTATTTCTACTAATCCAATGTCTGGTGCGAAGATCGAATCGGCCCACTCCTTCTGGTGTCTCCCCCCAAAGGGTCAAAATTTTGAATAACCACGAAGTTCTAAAAATGCGAAATTAACATCCGATTCCACTCAGACTTGGTACATCTCAATATTTCCATCAACACACGATTTGCTATAAAGATGGTAGAGATCGGACCATTCCTTCTGATACCTCCCCCACAAAGGGTCAAAATTTTGAATAACCAAAATGATTATAATATCCAAAATAAGCATGCGGCTCTCTTCATATTTCACACATCCCATTATTTCTACTAATACAAGATATGTTATGAAGATGGGATATATCGGTCCACTCCATTAAGAACATCACCCACAAAGGTTCAAAAATTTGAACATTCATGAATTAATAAAAAAAGTTTAACCTTTGAGGGGTGGTTCTTAATGGAGTGGGTCGATATTGTCCATTTTCGCACCTGACCTAGCACTCATAAAAATATTAGGATATGCAAAGTTGGCGGAAAATTGGAAGATCCTTTTTGTGTTCTAAAGGGTAAAGCTTTGACCTTTTATGGGGAACATACCAGATAGAGTGGACCGATAATACACATCTCTATAAGTATGTACCACATCGGATACTTCCTTCGAGAGTATTGTGCTCACCAACCAGATAGATGTATGGATACCCCTAGATCGACTCCAAATGTCCTGCAACGGTTTTGGTTGACAAACACCTTAGTTCTAAACCAGTTATTTCGATTAGGCACGTTTTGGACGTGTAAAATGTAATATACCTTCTTTAAGCAGAAAACACAAAAATGTAGGAATTTGGTATACTTCGAGGCCTGTAGTAGCATTTTATGATGAACGATTTTGTCTAAAATGTTATTCTAATACCATCGCATTTAACTTTTCTAACAAAAAATCACCCAAAATACTTCTTTAATGACTTAACTGAGGTTTAATTTATTCGGAAATAAATCCGCCCCGAATTTGAGGGAGTAATATTACCTAAAGCACTATATACATAAAATGCATGGAATCCAAGGAATCTTAACTGAAAGATCGACAAAACTTTAACAATAGATGTAATCCCCTACCTGACTTTGGATACCTAGAGGTTTAATTTTTCGAGACTTTGAAATACGTATCTCTTATTTTTTATCTCTAAAATTAGAAAATTTTCTATTTTTCTTTAATTTAGGAATTGTGTGGCACATTCAGGAACGAATGTTTAGGAAGGCATTATTATCCGCAATAATCCTTAAAAAAATCATGAATATTTTCCCAGACTCCGATGCCATATAAAATTGTCAGATATCCTGTTGATCTAGAGTTTTCATATACTTTTGAAGTTCGAGTTAATCTCTCGCAGCGATTTCAATTCGGAAATTATAGAATAAAAACCAACCAATTAAAGCAATATTAAAAATCGGCAATGAAATTAAACCAAAAAGCAAATTATAACCAAAACTCCAAAAACCAACAACTCAACAAAAATTCACACAAATTTTTCTTTCGCTAAAATATCAGTATGTTTGATATGGGTATGTGGGTAGGTAGGGTAGGGTAGGGTAGCTTTCTTTTGTCATTACAACAAGGACGTTTATGAATGTTTTTCTTTTTGTTGTGTGTGTTTTTTTTTTTTTTTTTTTTGTAATTTTTGGGGGAATCTTACTTGCCGCACACCTTGCAGGGAAATTCGGTTATGTCTTTGTTGTTGGCATTGTTGGGATCTTTGGAATTGGCATTGCCTGGCCCGCCCAGTGACTGATTGCCACCGTTTGTCGTCGGCAATGCATTGGAACCGGCATTTCCGGCAGCATTCTGACTGCCATGATGATGTTGGTGATGCTGGTGATTTGCTGAGGAGGATGAGGCTGTGGCTGTTGTGGCATTGGGATTAGTGTTGTTGCTTGGATTGTTGTTGTTACTGTTATTGGAATTGATAGCTTGGTTATGGCTGCTAATGTTGCTGTTCTGGTTGTTGCTGTGGGCATTACGACCATAGGTGTGAATGCGTGTGTGACCATGCAACGCAGCTTTTGAGGAAAAGCTCTGCAAAAATTTCGCACAATGGGTTAGGTTGCAAAGCTTGTGTTGGCTGGGTTAGGGGAGCAGTGGTGTTGTTAATACTTACCGCTGAACAATCGGGTATTTCACATACATAGGGCTTGGGGTCGACTGTATGGGGCTGGATCTGGGGTGGTGTCTCCGTTTTGAGGTGGGTCACTTTATAGTCCACACATAGCTTCTTCCAGAAATAATACATTTGCACACATTCTCCGGTCGATTTTGTGGTGAGCTAAGGGTGCAGAAATTGTATGGTTAATAAAGTCTAAGGGAAGTATATTGTTTCGAACCTACCTCCTTGGAAATTTTACTAAACTCCTTGCCATATTTCTCCAGACCCTTGAGAAAACATTCCAGTTCTTGGGAGGACCATTTCATTTGGAAGGAGTTGGATTGCGTCTGCAAGAGATTCAAAACTGCCGTGGCCGTATTGCCTTGGGCCTGTAGCAATGTGTGAAGAGCCACCTCTTCTGTGTGGCTACCCAGAGGCACGGCCGAAGATTTACTCAAGTCGATGAAACGCATTAGAATTTTCTCATCTGGCTGGCATTCTGGACGCCACATCAACTCGGCCGTTACGGTTTCTTCGATGTCAGCCGTCTGGGTGGGCTGATTAAATGCAGGTATCGCAGCCTGATAGGCGGAGCCCAAGTTCACCTTGGACTCATCCGAGAAGTCCACCAAACCCACGGGGTCATCGTCAAAATCATCGAAATTGTCAAAGGAGAGCAGGGAGCAACCCAGCTCCTTGAGAACATTGCAATAGAGCCCATGACCCTTGCGTTCTGGATTAAGGATGGGTGCCGGTGTATAGTGGGTCCTGGAGGGTTTGCGCAACTTCGATTTGTAGGGCGAGAGGGCCTGATATTTGGAATATGATTGGGAGTTGGAGGAGTCGTGGGACGAAGAATGCAAACCTCCGGCCTTCAGGCGCCTTTTGAGTATGGAATTTGTTTGATTGGAGAGGGGTTGCAACGACGTGGATGTGGAGTGATGCAGGGAGGAATATGTGTGGCTACTCCGTGAGGGAGCCAATATCCGATTGCTGGACTGATGTTGTGCCGGGGAGTTCAGGTGATTGCTGCCACCACTACTGCCGCAGCTACTGGAAATGGCCTCGGGTTGCGCTTCTAATTTGATTTCAATTTTATCGGTGGTACCACTGGTGGCATAGATTATTGGTTGCATTAAGGCCTCGTTGAGAGAGTTGATGTGTTGTTGTTGTTGTTGCTGCTGCTGCTGGGAAGAAGCCATAAAATGTGGTTGTTGCTGCTGTTGGGATATCTGTGCATTTCCTGGGTTTTGGGAGCTTTGTACTTGTGGTGTTGTTGTTATTGTTTGTACATTATAATGTATTGTTGTTGCTGCTGTTGTTGTGCTGCTGGTGGTGGTGGACACATTCGGGGAGCTTTGTAGGTTATTTGGGGGTAAACTCAAAATCAGTTGATTCACATCATTGGTGGTGGACACCTGGCCACCATCCAGGCTTAATTTGAGAGACGTCTGTTGTTGTTGTTGTTGGCTGGGAACTCCTTGATGGCTGTAGCCCAGGTTTTGGCTCAAGTGTTGCTGAAGTTGCTGTTGTTGAGGAATGTTTGGAATTTGCTGTGTCTGTTGTTGTTGCTGCTGCTGTTGCATGGAATTGACAATTTTCAGTTGACCAAAATCGCGGGGTGACGACGAAAGCAGTGGGTCCTCGGAGTTGGGCATCATTTGCGATTGCAGACTCAGGCCCGGCAGATAATACAAATCGATGATATTTTCCTGTTGACTTTCACAGTTCAAATTAATTTGATCATCCGTGAGGACCTCCCGCAACACTTCCTTCACCTCCTCGGCGGTGCCAATGCCACTGGTAAAAAAGGACTCGGACAGGGGCGAGGTGGCATTTCTGGAATCGCTTAGGAATTCTTGATCTTCGTCGAGAAAGGCAAATTCCCGCAAATCACATTCGGTGTCTGCCCCAGAGCCACTCAGCAAATCTTCCACCTTGATGTTGGAATCGAAGGAATGGTCCTCGAGGACATTTTTCAATTTCAAGCCACCATCATTGTCCTGATCCCCGGGACCATTGTTACCTCCGCCGCCACCACCCCCACCACTCAGCAGGGACTCGTTGAAGAAAATGTTTTGATTATCGCCAAAATGATGATTGTCCTCAATGTAGGGCGATGTTTGGGTGACATTTTCATGGCTCGAGGGGGGTGTGGGATAGGCCAGGGGCGAGTGCAGTGGAGAATTTAAATTTCCAGCAAATTGATGGCCCTTCAAATCATTTGGCAAACTCAAGGTGTGGGAACGCAGGTTGTTTTGACTAAGGATAGACGATGACGACGTGGACATGGACGACGAAGAATTCTGCATGATCAGCTGCTCTTTGGAATGGAAATGTTGGAAATTTGGTAAAGTTTGTTGTTGTTGCTGTTGTTGGCAGGTATTTTGATAGTGCTGCTGCTGCTGCTGTTGCTGAGAGTCCATAATATTACCACCACTCGTATTACTACTCTCCATAACCTCAAAGTGTTCGGAATGTTCAGAGGTTGTGGGTGGGGTATTAAGGCTATTACTCTCCAGCTTTAGACCATGATCAGCGGAATTATTGGCCTCTTCGCTCAGCAATTGCATGGTGTCCACGGTTTGCAACAACATTTCAGCCTCACTGACATTATAGACCTCAGCATCGCCGAACAAGCCCCCAGCAGCCTCACTCGTATAAGTGACCGTATACACCTCACCACTGTTGCTGTCCGATCCCTGGGCAATGGTCAGAGACAGGGGAGTGCCATCGGCCAGAGTTAGATTTGTCGTGGTGGTGTTGTTATTTTGATTCTGATGTTGTTGCTGCTGCTGTGACATTTGTTGTTCATCGGCGGGTTTCTTCATTTTCCCTTTGGTGGTGACCACCTGCACCTCTGAGGGTATTATGACACTGCAATTATTTTTATTCGTTATTATCTGACGTGATATTCCGCCCAGCGGCATATTGGGATTGGGTTGTTTCTGGGTCACCGCTATGCGGGTGCCACGTTTCAACAATTCTATAAGGGTTGAGTCTTTGGGATCGGTTGATGTGGAACGAGAGGTCGTTGTATTGATCGTTGTTGCTGCTCCCGCTGCTGCAGCTTGGAGTTTCGTTGAATTTGTGGACGTAGAGGCAGTGGTTGTACCCACACCTATGTTGTTCATTGTCTTTTGTTGTTGTTGTTGTTGTGGTTTGTTATTGTTGTTACTATAAATCTCTATACTTTGTGGTAAATTCATGTCAGGCATGTTGAGCATGGTTTTGGGGGAATTTTTAATATTTGTTGTTGTGGTGGTTGTTGAAGTTGCTGTCATTTGTTGTTGTTGCTGTTGCTGCTGTTGTTGGTGATTCTGCTGCCCGTTTATTGTATTCTGTTTGGGATTCAGAAAACTGTCCAAATCACTAATTGATCGTCGCATTGTTGTTGGATTGCCTTGATTGTTGTTTGAGGGCGGAGCAGGAACGGCAAAGGCACCCTGGAAAAAACGGGAGGAAAATGGAAAATAGAGATAAATATATAAAGATAAAGAAAAAAATGTAGAAACAAATTTGGAAAATATCGGTCGATCTTGCCCGCAGCTGAATACCCCCAGAATATACCCAAATACATAAATACGGACTTGGGCCATGTAAGATCTGCGACTGGCGAAACGGCTGAAGCTAGAATCTTAACAATTTTCATGTGTGGGCCACAGTTGATGTGTGGGGGTGATTTATGGAGGGATTTTGGAACTTCGAACTAAAAAATTAATCCACAAAATCGGGCAAACGCATAGAGCTAGAATTCTGAAATTTGCAATGAGGGTCGCTGGGTGGGTCTGAGATAGATGTATGAATGCTTTTTGGAAATTTCGAAGTGCGAGTGTACAAAAAGTACTTAAATGCACCAAATTCGGTACTATAAGTTAGAAGCTAGATTTCTCAAATATGGGTTGTGGGTCGCTGATCGGGTGAAGGATTGATTCTACAAATATACTAAAAGTACTAAAACGCACTAAATTTGACACCATTAAATAGAAGCTAGAGTTTTAAAATTTTGATCGAAAATCGCTGATGGGGTGTAAGATAGAAGTACCAAAGTTTTTTTTTGGAAATTTAGACTATGCAGAGAGATGTAATCAATTTCAGACTGCTGTCATTTCTAAGCCACTTATCCGACAACTGTTAAAATTATTCTAGTGACAGCTCATTATATTATTTACAAGCGTACAAAAGCATTTTGATGAGAATTTTCCAGAACAAAAGTTATTCGTGATGGAATTCAAGCGTGATAGTGTGATTTCTTTATATTTGGCTGGAAAACCACAAGTGGCTATCGTTAGAGCACTCCAGCATTTAAATGTGAATAAATTCTACCACCGCTCGTTACCGTGATACTGGTAGCGTAGCCCGACGGCAGGGAAGTGGACGGAAGAAAACAGCAACATCAGCAGAAATGGTTCGAAAAGAAAAGAAGCGAATTGATCGAAACCCGCGTCGCAGTGGCCGAAAAATGAAAAATGAGCTCGGGGTAAAACCATTGAAACTCCAAAAATTGCAAGAACTTACACTGCAACAGAAAGAAAATAGACTCAAAAGAGCTAAAGAGTTGCTTCGCTTGGGCGAAAGTGGTGAACTGCCGAATTTGGTTCTTTTCTCCAATGAGAAAACATTCGTTGTCCAGAAGTCTGTAAACAAACAAAATGATCGTGTTTACTTGCCAAAGAGGTCAGCTGAAAATGTGCACCCTGGGTTGGCCACCAGAACTCAAGCGCCGGCCATGGTGATGGTGTGGGCCGCCATAACAGCCGATGGTCGCTCTCCGCTCGTATTAATCGACCGTGGCATCAGAATAAATAATAAATGCCGAATATTATCGCGAAAATATTCTGGAGGTTGTATTAAAGCCTTGGGCACGCACACATTTTGGCCGCAGACCTTGGACATTCCAACAAGACTCAGCAAAATCGCACTCAGCACGCGCCACCCAAGAATGGTTACAAAATGAGGTTCCTCGCGTCATTTCCAGCACACAATGGCCACCAAAATCTCCGGATACCAATCCGTTGGACTATTGTATCTGGAGTAGTTTGGAAAGCAAGGTTGCACTAAAAAATACCAAAGTGTCGATCACCTCAAGCAAGTGCTTCGCCGGGAATGGGCCAAAATATCGCAGAGCAACATTCGGGCAGCACGTGACGGTTTCATTGGCCGTTTGAAGGCCATAATTCGTGCCAAAGGTGACCAATTCGAACAAATCTAAACTTATTCTAAAATTTGATGCTATTTCCGACATTTTTTGCTTTCATTCAATAAAATTAAAAAATTAAAAATTATGACGTTTGACTTTGTTGTAGTTTTTTATCTCACCCTGTATAATTTTCGAAAAGGACTAAATTTGTTGAAATTTGAAAATAGCTATAATTAGACCCTAGGTCAAATCCGTTTCAGAACATGTGGAGCCTAAGGATTGTCGTCCGTCCTTCTGTCTCTCTCTCTCTCTCTCTCTCTCTCTCTCTGGCTGATGCACACTATACTCTCGAAGGGAGTATTTGATTTGGATCAAGCTTAGTACGCCGTAATATTATTATCTAAATTAGAGCGAGGTTCGGAGATGAGAAAAATCGGTTCGGTAGCACATTCCAATATTTTCCGGTATCTAACTCACAACGGGCAAAATTTGGAATAATTATAACACTCATGAAATTTATCCGATCTCTTAAAATTTTACACATGGCATTTTTGAGTGGTACAGTATTTATACCCTCCACCATACTATGGAGGGTATATTAAATTTGTCATTCCGTTTGTAACTCCTATATATATTCTTGATCAGCGTAAAATTCTATGTCGATTTAGCCATGTCCGTCTGCCTGTCTGTTTGTTGTAATCACGCTATCTTTCGAACGAATTGAGATACAAGGCTAAAATTTTGCACACCTGTTTATTTTTCCAGTAGACAGGTTAAGTTCGTAAATGGGCCATGTAGGTCCAAGTTATCATATAGCCCCCATATAACGATATCTCCCGATATTCGGTATTTTGATGATTTTAGCGACATTATTCATCTGAATTATTTCAAATTTGGTATTTCAAGTTCGAAATGGGTACAACAGCCTATGACAGAAAATTATCTGGGCAGGTCCAAGTCTTCGTATAGCCTCCATATAACGGTACCTCCCTATATTCGGTATTTTGATGATTTTTGCGGCATTATTCACCGGAATTCTTTCAAATTTGGTATTTGAGATTCGTGATGGATACTACAGCCTATGACAGAAAATTGTCTGTGCCCCCATATAACGGTACCTCCCAAAATTCGGTATTTTGATGATTTTAGCTCCATTATTCACCGGAATTGTTTCAAATTACGTATTTAGAGTTTGTAATGGGAACTACAGTCTGTGACAGAAAAATGTCTATGCAGGTCCAGGTCTTCGTAAAGGCTCCATATATCAGTACCTCCCTATATTCGGTATTTTGACGAGTTTAGGTACAGCGACTCTCAAATTTCAGATGATAGAGATGGCTATTACATGTTTTTTTCGAATTATCAAAAATGAAGTCAAATTTCTTTATAGCTTTCGTTGACCTTTTTACCCCTTAACAATAACTATTTCGAATGTTCCTGGGAACGCAAAAGGGAACCCACTTAGCAAATTTCACATTCTCAGCTCTATCCGCTCAATGAATTTATACGTTGTATAACATTTTGTGTCAAATCATTTTGTAAATTCGTAATTTGACATGCTACGATCCTGTTTAAAGGGTCCGCTTTCGGGTTTCCATCCAAGTTATCTTTGTATTGTTATAGGTTTCCTGGGAATATTAATCCAAAATTTTTAAAAAAAATTTGGAAGAGGGGTAAATTTTCCCCTTACACGCCCATACGAGTTCTCTCTTGTTAGCTCCACTTTTACAATCTTCAGAGATTTTCCATTGGTTTAAAAAAAATGCATTTTTTTTTTTCTTCTACTATTCCCAGTTCCATTCAAAAGTTCTCACATTTCAATGTATGTATTTAAGTAAATAATCAAATGTTGAAGGTATTTTTCTGTCAGGAAATGTACTAAAATTTCCTAACTTGTTAATTTATTCTCTAATTTAACCCCCCACCGCCAACCTACCTTATTCAAATCTTTACTCCTTTTGCTGATGATTTTCTCCTCGATCAAAGCCCGCACACCAATGCTCGCCGTCTGCAGGGGTGGGCCATTGTTTTCTTTCTTTTCGCTTTTCTTCGTTTCGGGATCCTTTTTAAAGTAGCCACCGTGCAGACGCATGTGGCCATTCAAGGCGGGTACATTTTTAAATTTGCGATGGCAAAGATTGCATTCGACGGGTTTTTGATCGATTTTCACCAAATTAAAGAGTTGGGGATTTGACATGGCATTGGAGAGGTCAATATCGATTTCTTCCTCTTTGACTTTGGTGGTGACCACAGAGGCCGCTTCACCTGATGCACTCGAATCTGTGGTGATTTCGTCCACGGTTATGGCCACATTTTGGGAGGAGTTGAGCTGGAAATAAAAACATTCATTTATTTGTTCTTCAATACCGTAAACATTTTCAACCTTACCAATTGCATGTTCCATGTCCTGGGTCTTGGCGCCTGCTGCTGCTGTTGATTTGCCACTACGGCCGGCTGGGGATTTGTATCAATTTTATATGACTGAGAACTCGTGGGTGATGAGACGGTAACCTGGGCCGTTGTTTGCTTGGTTTGTCGCATAATTTTACTTATCAAATCCAATTGTTCACGTGTCAGACCATCTCCTTCCAAATTGCCACTATTATCGGTCAGGGTTATTGTGGCCCCCGGGCCAGAGGTTATACTACTTGTCGACGACATTGAGGATGTTGTAGAGGTGGGTGACAGCAGGGTAACACCTGTTGTCTTCAAGGGTACATTTAAAGCTTTCAATTCTTCTTCGGTTAAAGCTATACCAGTGGCGGCATCTACCACTGTGCCACCGTTCGACAGATATGTTCCTAGACAGGTGGCACCGTCCGGTGAACTGGCATCACCTGAAAAATGAAATGTTAGTTGTATTTGTGTTCTATTTTTATACCCTCCACCATACATAGTATGGATGGTATATTAAGTTCGTCACTCCCTTTGTAACTTATCGAAATAATAATTGAGCGTAAAATTCTAAGACGATTCTTTATTCGTTTTGACTCTAGCGTTATACAACAGTCGGACGGACGGAGAGGGCTAGTCCGTCCGACTCTTGTAATAACGCTAAAGTCAAAACGAATAAAGATAGGAAGCTAAAGTATTGCACAGCTCAGCCTTTGTATACAGGAAGGTCAAGTTCGAAGATAGGCTATATCGGTCCACGATATCGCATGACCCCCATATAACGGTGCCTCCCGATATTCGGCATTTTGATACTTGTACCTAATTTTTTCAATGAAATTGTCTGAAGAATCACAAAAGGAGTTCCTTCTGAGTAATTTACCCCCTGGAAGAGTAGTGTCTACATAGGTCTACGATATCGTATATCCCCCATATAACGGTACCCCCCGATATTCGGACGATTTTAGTGACTCAATTCACCTGAATCGTTTCAAATTTCGTATTCGAAGTTTGTAATGGGTACTACAGCCCATGCCTAAAATTTCGTTTGCAGGTCCACGTCTTTGTATGGCACCCATATAACAGAACCTCCCGATATTCGGTATTTTTAAGATTTTAGCGAGTTAATTCACTTGAATTGTTTCAAATTTCGAATTCGAAGTTTGTAATGGGTACAATAGTCTATGACTAAAAATTTCGTTTGCAGGCCCACGTCTCCGTATAGTCTCCATATAGGATACCTCCTAATATTCGGTGTTTTGATGACTTTAGCGACATTATTCGTATTTAGAGTTTGTAATGGGAACTACAGTCTATGATAAAAATTGTCTACACAGGTCCAGGTCTTCGTATAGGCCGCATACAGGGTGAGATGAAAAAACTTCAACCAAATTCAGACTGCTGTCATTTCTAAGCCACTCGTCCGACAGCTGTTAAAATTATTCGTGATGGAATTCAAGCGTGATTGTGTAATTCCGTTATATTTGGCTGGAAAACCACAAGTGGCTATCGTAAGAGCTCTCCAGCATTTAAATGTGAATAAATCTTTTGTGTCTCGTACCATCGCTCGTTACCGTGACACCTGTAGCGTCAAGGATGTGGACGGAAGAAAACAGCAACATCAGCAGAAATGTTTCGAAAGTGAAGAAGCGACTTGATCGAAACCCGCGTCGCAGTGGCCGAAAAATGGCTCGTGAGCTGAACATATCGCAATATTCCATTCGGCAAATATTGAAAAATGAGCTCGGGGTAAAGCCATTGAAATTCCAAAAAGTGCAAGAACTTATACCGCAAAGGAGAGAAAATGGGCTCAAAAGATCTAAAGAGTTGCTTCGCTTGGCCGAAAGTGGTGAACTGCCGAATTTGGTTTTCTCCGATGAGTAAACATTCCTTGTGCACCTTCGGTTGGCCACCAGAACTCAAGCGCCGGCCATAGTGATGATGTGGGCCGCAACAACAGTCGATGGTCGCTCTCTGCTCCTATTAATCGATCGTGGCATCAGAATAAATGCCGAATATTATCGCGAAATTCGCGATATTCTGGAAGGTGTATTAAAGCCTTGGGCACACAAACATTTTAGCCGCAGACCTTGGACATTCCAACAGGACTCAGCACCATCGCACTCAGCACGCGCCATCCAAGAATGGTTACAAAATTAGGTTCCTCGCTTCATTTCCAGCGCATAATGGCCACCAAAATCTTGTGTCTGGAGTAGTTTCGAAAGCAAGGTTGGTACTAAAAAATGCAAAAGTGTCGATCACCTCAAGCAAGCGCTTCGCCGGGAATGGGCCAAAATACCCCCATATATCGGCACCTTGCGAGATTTTAACAGAATGTTTAATGGATTTTATTTTTATTTTTTGAAAATGTCCTAAATTGTTCCAAATGGTGGTTGGTATTCAAAGTTCGTCCCGGCCGAATTTACTGCTTTTTACTTGTTTTTTCTCACCCCGTTTATCAGTACCTCTCTTTATTCGGTATTTTAACAATTTTAGGTACAATCTTCACCGAAATTGTTTGAAATTTCGTATTTGAAGTTCCTAATAGGTACTGCAGCCTGCGACTGAAAATTGTCTATGCTGGTTCAGGTCTCCGTCCTCCTCCCTTTTTTACATTATTTTTTTTTTCAAGTTTAATGTATTGAATATCGTAGTATATAATGGCTATATTCGGTATTTTTAAGATTTAACAGGATTTTAAACGGATTTTATTTATTTATTATTAGTATTATTATTATTATTATTATTATTATTATTATTATTATTATTATTATTATTATTATTATTATTATTATTATTAGTATTATTATTATTATTATTATTATTATTATTATTAGTATTATTATTATTATATTATTATTATTATTATTATTATTATTATTATTATATTATTATTATTCTTATTATTATTATTATATGATTATTATTATATTATTATTATTATTATTATTATTATTATTATTATTATTATTATTATTATTATTATATTATTATTATTATTATTATTATTATTATTATTATTATTATTATTATTATTTATTATTATTATTATATTATTATTATTATTATTATTATTTATTTATTTTATTTTATTTATTTATTATATTTATTTATTTTTTTTTTTTTGAAGTAGCCGAATATGGGAAGGGTATTTAAAGTTCGGCCCTGCCGAATTTATGTTTTTTTAATTGTTTTTGTGCTATTTTTCCGACTTACCGTTTGCCGTGGCAGGGGATAAACTTAGATTTGAATTGGAATTATTATTTTGGGAACCAGACAGAGTTTGATTTTGATGTTGCGTTACAATACCGGCGTGATGATTTTCCGTATGTCGTCGCAGGGAACGTGCATCACAATACGATTTGCCACAACCTTCAGCTTTGCATTCGTATGGTTTTTTATTACGATGGGTCATCATATGTCCATTTCTGAAAGAAAAAAAAATAAATTGAAATACATATTAAAAAAAAATTACAAAATATCTACACAATCAACAGAGATATAGATTGGGCAAAAATTGGTGTCACACACACCAGATATTCCTTATCGTAACCTATATAACCCTACATATTTACCAGTTATTAGTGTGGAGATGAGATATATCACTTCATTGTTTCTGGTTCTTCTGAGATTTACAAATGACCACCTCAATTATTTAATTTTTTTTTTTGAAAATTGTCGTACTATTACATAATTAGTATTAATAAAAGTATCTTTAATTTCTAATTAATATTAATTATAATATATTCAATATTCAAAAAAAAAAAAAAAAATTTGAACAACATTCCATGAAATTGGAAAATTTGTCCATCATCAATTCTTGATATGTGTCACATATTGTGACGGCTTCTAATATTTCACCTGCATATGGCGAAGAGGATGTTTTTTTTTAACTTAAGGGGAATCTTTTTCATGGTTCGACATGACACGACTCTTTACATTGACTTTTTATCTTCTACTTCGTTCATTCGTTCGTCTCCGACATATGCTTATCACACTGAATGTCTGTTATCTCACCCACTTAAATGATTTCCGGCACGGTGATGAATTTCTTTGACAGCTACTAAAAAGAAATGTGTTAACACGTGGAACAGAATGTGACGCCAACAAATCAAATTCTTTGGTGCCATCCCACCACAAAAAAAATATTTTTTTTTTTCTAAACCAACAACATTAATAATAAACAAATTTTTTAAGGTGCCACAAAATTGTCATAATCAGCTAAATAAACATATAATGGATATTAGGGTGGTATGGGGTGGTTGGATGCAAATAATGTTATTTATTTTATTATTTTGAATTTTGGATTTAATTGTATAATTTATTTTGATTGGATTTTTTTACCCGATCGACACGAACCCTATAGAATTAATGGAATTATTTGATCAAAATCTAGATATAGCTCCCATATAAATCTTCGTACAATATGTCCTTTATTGTGCAGAAAAGGAGCCTGCTTTGTATATGGATCTGAAATTCTAAAATCTAATACAGCGGACTCTATTGGTTTCTAGGAATTGCATATGGAGACCTTGAAATAGTTGGACAAAAATATTAGATGTGAGTCCATTGTTCAATAGCCTTACTAAGATCTCCCTTGATAAATTTCAAAATGAAAGATTTTTTATGACTTACGGTGGAAAATTTTAACATTTTTCTATTATTCTTTCCGAAAAAGGAAAAACATGAATAAAATATAAAACCTTTAAAGTTTGAAAATTTAGGCCAATCTATGAAGTTTTCATTAAAAAAAATTGTCAAACTGAACAAATTTTGCATTTTGAGTACCAAAAATACCCAACACGAATTATTGGAATGAATAAGTTTGATTATTTAACACCTCGAAATATTGGTTTCCCATATAGAAAAGTATATATGTATCTTGATACCTCAGCGAGCTAAGAAGATCTAGCTTTTATGCCCGTCCGTTCATCTGTCCATGTTAATTTTTGCATAGAGGATGGAAATTTTGCATGGAGGTGGGGTTATGGTCAGAATAGAAGCCTATTGCTTTTAGAGATGATCGCAAAATATTTAGGGGTGGAAATGGACCAACAACTGAAAAATTTCCTGATTTTGTAGTTGCTTTCCAGGGCACAATTATGAACCAATTGGGCTAGAACTTATGGCTGGGCAGAAGCCTTCCGATTTTGATGGGTAATATTTAGTGTGTGAAATAGACCATAAATAAATAAATAAAAGTTAAATTTTCCATTAAACCGAGAACATTTTTAATCCCGGAGAAATCACAAGTAGACGATAAGGTAAATTCTGATCTGTAGATGCCGATAGTAAATATATCGGATATATATAGCGAAATATATACAATGTGTATATACAAAGGTAGGGGATGTTACCTAGAATGCTTATATCTCAAGAATGGCTGGACCGATTTTGATAAATTTTCTCAATTCAGAATGCTCTCTCGGCATACAGGGATAAAATTTAAAAAATCTCATAAAAAAATGCCAATAATGATGTTAATATAGATTTTGTAGTATTTTGTGACATTTTTTTATTTTTTCATATTTTTTTATCGCATGCGATTTTTTCAATTTGACTTATAATATTGAGGTGTACATTTTGTAATATTTTTTCACCTTACAACACAGGTTCGGGTTATTATATACCGACAGCAATTATCGACCGATCCTCACGAAAATTTTCATAAGGGTAGAGTTGGGCTCAGAAAGGCTAGGCCTATTGTTTTTAAAGATGTACGGAATATATAGAAGGTTTGAAATGGATAAATAACTAAAAAATATCCTGATTTTGCAGCCTTTATAAAGTTCACAAATAGAAACCAAAGGACACGAAATGTCGTTTGAAGTTAGAGTTTAGGACAGTGGGTAGAATAGACCACTACTTTTGTTTGAAAAAAATACAAATATTTCCATTCTACCGAAACGCTGAAAATAACTTACAGGCGAACTTCTGTTTTTTATTCAGATTTTGCCAAATATCGTAGACAAGCAAATCATAAATTTGGAGATACAGAGGGCCTCTTGCATTTGGAGATGATCGCAAAATACTTAGGGGTTGTAAAATGGACCCCAAAAACTAACAACACGACGGAATGTGTAAATATTGGGCAAATTCCCCTGGTCAAAAAAAAAAAAAAAAAAAAAAAAACTAAGGGTAATATTTGGCTAGTGCCCTATGACATAATTTCAAGAGAAAATCTTCCAAAATAGATTTGGACATAAGAGGCTGGTAACATATTGTAGTGTTGTAGGGTATCACAAGGTCGGCCCCGCACTACTATAGCCTTTGCTTATTTGTTATATATTTGTTTCTATTATTATGTTTTCTATATTATGTTTCCAAATTTGTTTTATTTATTTATTTTATTTATATATTATTTGTGTTTCTATTTATTTTAGTTTTGCTTATTTATTATTGGATAATTTATTTATTTATTTATTCAATTCATTAATTATTCAATTATATATTTATTTATATGTATTATTATTATTCATTCTTTATATTATTTATTCTTTCATTTATTGCTTTATTTCTACATTAATTAGTTTGTTTATTCTGACACATACAGGGTTGCCCATATTCGACGGACCCATCTGGCAACGCCATAACTTTTGACAGAGATGTCACATTGCTTAATGACATACCGCGTTTGAAGCGTCAGTCCAAGCAGATTTTTACCATGAACCAATACACGCCACGCGAGCGCTCTGAAATAGTTGAAAAAAAATGTGAGAAGTGCGCCTTCTAAGAACACCATTAAGCGTTTTTACCAAAATTTTTTGACTGGTAAGGCTCTTTCTAATCCGAAGAGGCCATATAAAAGTCGACCACGGCGATCGGCCGAGAATATCGCTGCCGTACGAGCCAGTGTTGAGAGGTCCCCAAGAACATCCCAAAAATGCCGTTCTCAGCAGTTGGGCATGGCTCGGTCCACTTTACAACGGATTATTCGCATTGATTTGCATTTGTTCCCGTACAAAATTCAATTGACGCGAAGAATGTTGCCTGCGGACAAGCATCGTCGATTGGAATGGGCCCAAAGAATCATCGAAATGGCCGAAGATGACGAGCAATTTTGGAACAAAATTATCATGTCCGATGAAGCCCATTTCACATTGAATGGGACCGTAAATAAGCAAAATTGCCCTTTTTACGCCACTGAAAATCCTCAGGAGATTCAAGAAGTGCCTCTTCATGACGAAAAAGTCACAGTTTGGTGCGGCGTTAATGCGAAAACGGTCATTGGGCCGTTTTTCTTCCAAAATGAAAATGGCCAGGCTGTTACCATCAATCAGGAGCGTTATCGCGACATGATGGCCAATTTTGTAATGCCAATTATTCGTCGAAAGCGTATGAGGCAGTTCTGGTTTCAACACGTCGGCACTCCACCGCACACAAGTCGCATAACAATCGATTTTTTGAAGAATTTGTTTCCGGGCCGTTTGATGTCGAAAAGTGGTGATTTGGACTGGTCACCGCGTTCGCCCGATTTGACGCCGCCTGACTTCTTCTTGTGGGGATATTTGAAGTCAAAGGTTTACGTTAACAAGCCAAGGACCGTAGAAGAGCTCAAGGACAACATTCGTGAAGAAATAACCGCTATTCCGGCCGAAATGTTGGCAAAAACGATGGAAAATGCAGCAAAAAGGGCACAATACGTCATCAACGCCAGAGGCGGCCATTTGAGAGATATCATATTCAAAAAATGATGTAAACAAATCTACTTGGAACAAATTAAATGATTAACATTGCCAACCGCCAAATTTTTATTTTTTTCTTTGATTAAAAAAAAAAAGCATGGGTGCGTCGAATATGGGCAACCCTGTATTTATATACTTGCCAACTTATCTATTTATTAACTTACTTATAATTTTGTTTATTTATTGGAAAATACATAAACAAGTCCCAAAGTAGTAGTTTTTTAAATTTTATTTTTTTTTTTTAACCAAAATTATAGATTAAACTGTATATATTTTTTATAATTGATTTTTTTTCTTTTATTTATTTATTTTCTTTCTTTTTTTCATTCAAATACTTACAAGTGATCTTGTCGCTTAAATGCCTTCGAACACATAACACAAACGTATTTCCGTTCGTCGCTGTGCGTCAGTTTATGTTTGGCCAAGGCAGATGCATTTCCAAAAATTTTATTACAAATCTGTAACGAGATGAGAAAAAAATAGAAAAATGCTTCATCATGAGTCTAATGTTGACTTAAATATTAAAATAATCCACGAAACAGAAAAATCATAAAAAAACCCATTTACAAATGGTCCACACAAATAGTGTGGATCCCCACCAAAGAAAAAAAAATATGAAACAAAAATATGTTTTAATTAGATGACTAGTTGCGTTACTCCCCCCATCCTCTCCCTTCACCCAGCAACTGGATATATTTTGTTCTATTTTCACATTTAGCCATCCATTCATTGAAAAACTATGCGCCATCCCATCACAATGTCCGCAATCCCGCCGCCACTCCTCCCCACCCTTCCTCCCTCAAAGGGGCATTGAGTCCATCCATGTGAATGATTGCTTAGTATGTTGTTTTTGTTCTTGTTCTTGTTGTCGAAAGGGTATTATGACGACGAATGGTTACTGTTTTTGTTGTTGCAGCTGTTAATTCTAATTGCGCTGTGGTCTGTAGTTGCTTCATGTATGTCTCGAACAAATTTGTTGTCATTGTTTTTGTTGGTTGTATTATGTGAAAAGACATACACACATAGTTTACACAGAGAGAAATACATGAGATCAAGGATTTAAAAAAATGTGTTTAAGAATTAAACCATGTTTTTTCATGGGAAATAAGATGCTTTAAAAAAATCTAACAAGAAGTAAATTTGAAAAAAAAATTAACAAGTCAAAAAGTTTCGGTCGGTTTTGCCGACAGATGTATACTCTCAGCCAATGTTCGATTATTTTAAAATCTTTTGACTTATGGTTTGATTGATAAAATGTTTAAACCTTTATGCAGTTGGTTCCGAAGGAATTGGCCAATATTAGCCATTTCTTGTCGGACCTAAATAAATATGATATAAATATTGCGACGTACTAGGTTTGGACTGTGTTGTGTTAATGGAAATTTTGGGATGTACCAAGTCATGAATAGAATGCCAATTTCGCTTTTTATGAGCTTCATGGATTTTCAAAATTTTGAGTCTTTGTGGGGGTAGGTACCAGAATGAGTGGACCGATATATCCCATCTTCACAACGGATCTTTTGTTAGTGGAAATAATGGGATGTGTGAAATATAAAGAGAACCTGATTTCGTGTTTTATAAATGTTTTGGTTATTCAAAACTTTGACCCCTTGTGGGGGAGATAGCGGAAGGAGTGGACCAATATAGTCCATCTTAACACCAGATCTTGGATTTATGAAAATATTGGAATGTGTGAAATTTTAAGACAGTCGGATTCTAACATCACATTATAATTATTCAAAATGTTTACCCTTTGTGGGGGAGGTACTTGATGGAGTGGATAAATAATATCCATTTTTCTACCAGACCTAGAACTGACAAAAATATTAGGATTTGCCACGTTGGAGCAAACCCGAATAACCGCTTCTCTTTCTGCGCGGAAAAAATTATTATTATTTTTTTTTTTTTTGAAAATTTTGACCTTGCATGGGGGAGTTACCAGAAATAGTGGACCGATATTGTCTATCTTAACACCAGAACGTGGGTTAATATAAATATTGGGGTGTGTGAAATTTGAAGACAATCGGGCTCTTACATAAAAATTGATCAGAGTTGTAATTATTTAAAATTTTGACCATTTGTGGGGCAGGTATTTGATAGAGTAGACCGATATTGTCCATCTTAACACCAGACCTTGGGTAAATATAAATATTGGGATGTGTGAAATTTGAAGACAATCGGACCCTTACATCACATTTTATGAGAGTTGCAACTATTCAAAATGTTGACCATTTGTGGGGGAGGTACTTGATGGAGTGGACCGATATTGTCCACCTAACCTAGCACGAACGCAAATATTAGTATATGCAAAGTTGGAGCAAAATTTGATTATCCTTTCTTTTTCCGTGAAACAAATTATTTTCTTTGAAAATTTTGACATTTTGTTTGGGAGGTACCAGAAGGAGTGGACTGATATTGCCCATCTCCGAACTCGATCTAAGTTAGACAAAAATATTATGATGTAAGTTTGGATCAAATCAGATACTCCCTTCGAGAGTTATCGTGCGCACCAGCCAGCCAGCCAGACAGACGGACGGACGGACATCGGTAGATCGACTCCAAATGTTCTGAAACGGATTTGGTCCAAAGAGACCTACGATCTAAAACCGTTATTTCGACTAGGCACGTTTTGTTCGTATCAAATGATATATACCCTCTGTAGCCATATGGCTGAGGGTAAAAAAATATCAGTCGATGTTGCCGAGAGATGTATACCCTCAGCCAATGCTGGACTAATTAAATATATTTTGACTTCTGTTATGATTATTCGAATTGATGACCCTCTATGGAGTAGGTTCCGAAGGAAATTGCCAATATCGTCCATTTCGTATCGGACCTAAATAAATATGATATAAATATTACGTCATGCCACGGTTTGGGCTATATTGGCTACTTCCTTCACTTTACTGCAACCAACTTCCGACTACTGTCATTTCTAAGCCACTCGTCCGACAGCTTTTAAAATTGTTCCAGTGACAGTTTATTATATTATTTACAAGCGTACAAAAGCATTATTGTGAGAATTTTCCAGAAAAAAGTTATTCGTGATGGAATTCAAGCGTGATAGTGTGATTTCTTTATATTTGGCTGGAAAACTACTGGCAGGCTATCGTTAGAGCACTCCAGCATTTAAATGTGAATAAATCTTTTGCGTCTCGTACCATCGCTCGTTGCTGTGAAACTGGTATCGTAGTGCGATGTCAAGATAGTGGATGGAAGAAAACAGCAACATCAACAGAAATGGTCCGAAAAGTAAAGAAAAGATGTGATCGAAACCTGCGTCGCAGAGGTCGAAAAATGGCTCGTGAGATGACCATATCCCAATATTCCATTCGGCAAATATTGAAAAATGAGCTCGGGGTAAATTCCAAAAAGTGCAAGAACTTACACTGCAACAGAAAGAAAATAGACTCAAAAGAGCTAAAGAGTTGCTTCGCTTGACCAAAAGTGGTGAACAGCCGAATTTGGTTTTCTCCGATGAGAAAACATTCGTTGTCCAGCAGTTTGTAAACAAACAAAATGATCGTGTTTGCGTGCCAAAGAGGTCAGCTGAAAATGTGCACCTTCAGTTGGCCACCAGAACTCAAGGGCCGGCCATGGTGATGGTATGAGCCCCCATAACAGCCAATGGTCGCTCTCTGCTCGTACTAATAGATCGTGACATTAGAATAAATGACGAATATTATCGCGAAAATATTCTGGAGGGTGTATTAAAGCCTTGGACACACAAACATTCCAACAGGAGTCAGAACCATCGCATTCAGCACGCGCCATCCAAGAATGGTTAAAAAATGAGGTTCCTCACTTCATTTCCAGCGCACAATGGCCACCAAAATCTCCGAATAACAATCCGTTGGACTATTTTGTACGTTTCATTGGCCATAATTGAAGACCATAACTCGTGCCAAAGGTGACCAATTCGAAAAAATCTAAACTTATTCTAAAATTTAATGCTATTTCCGACATTTTTTAGATTCATTCAATTAAAAAAATGTAAAAATTATGGCGTTTGACTTTTTTGCAGTGTTTTTTTATCTCACCCTGTATATATTTTATTGAGATATCGCTATTTTGGAAATGTGTACTATAATTGCACGAAAAGTACTAAATAGTACTAGTAAATTCAGTATTGGGTGAAGGAATATAACTGAAATCCTGATATTGTATATAGATGTCACTATTGGTGTCTGCGGTTAAGATATGGAGATCGTTTTAAAAATGTCTATGAAGGTTGTTTTGGATATGTGTAAAATAAGTGTACGATTGTACTAATTAGTACTAAATTTGATATTGGGTGAAGGAATATAGAATTTTGATTTTGACTTTTTGGTCATCAATCTCTGCTGGTGTATGTGGTTAAGATAGGGGGGTGATATTGGAAACGTGTACTTTAATTTCCGAAAAGTACTGAGTGGTACTAAATTGGATTTTGGGCTAAAGGAATAAAGCCGGGACCGTTATATTTGATATGAATGCAACTTTTTGAGCCTGTGGTACAAAATTGGTATTGGGTAAAGGAATGGAGCTAAAATCCTGAAGTTAGAGATGGTTCTCACTGTTGGTGTCTATGATTAAGATTTGGGGCTGGTTTGGATATAAACGTATGAAAAGTGCAAAATAACACAAAATGGACCGTTCGGTGTTGGGATAGAAATGAAATTCTGAAATTTGGTACCGATGTTACTATTGATGTACAGGGTGGAGAGAGGGAGGTGGTTTTGTAAATTCATATAACTGTAGTATGGTAATAAAAGTGGTATCGGGCCCTATGATAGAGCTTTAATTCAGAAATTCGATATGGAGGCTACTGTTGGTATATAGATTTGAGAGAAGGAGGTGGATTTGGGTATGAGCACTATGATTGTTCGATAAATATTAAATTGTACTAAGTTTGACGTTGAGTGAATGGATAGAACTTGATTCCTGAAATTTGATATTGAGGTCAATGTTGATTTCTAGGATTTCGATATGGTGGTGGAGAATTTTTATTACCAACAGACATTGAAATAGATTTTGCCAAAAAAAAATTGGAAATTTTATCCATGAAATAAAAAAAAAAAACAGGTAAAAAAGCAGTTAAGTTCGACCATGCGGAACTTACCATCCATAATTTGGAAGAAATTTGAAAATTAAAAAAAAAATCCGCCGAAAAATACCGCTCAAATGAAAACCGTTATATGGAGCTATACGAAGATTTGGTCCTGCATAAGTAATTTTTGTCATGGGCTGTAGTAATGGTTCCGAACTTCAAATACGAAATTTGAAACAATATATGAGGGCTATACAAAAACGTGGACCTATGTAGACAATTCTCTTCTAGGGGGTAAAGTACTCAAAAGGAACCCTTTGTATGGATTTTAAGACAATTGCATTGAATATTTTGCCTAAAATCATCAAAATACCGGGTTACCGTTATATGGGGGCTATACGATATCGTGGACAAGGAACTCCTTTTGTGAATTGTAAGACAATTCAATTCAAAATTTTGGCAGGAAAATACCGAATATAGGGAGGTACCGTTATATGGGGGATATACGATATCGGAACCTTTATAGACAATTCTCTTTTAGGGGGTTAAGTACTCACAAAGAACTCCTTGTGTAGAATTTAAGACAATTCCATTGGAAAATTTGGCTAAAATCATCAAAATAGCGATTTTTGGAGGTACCGTAATATGAAGGCTATACGATACCGTGGACCGATATAGCTCATCTTCGAACTTTACCTGCCTGCAGACAAAATGCAGATTGGTGCAAAATTTTAGCTTCATATCTTAATTTGTTTTGACTCTAGCGTGATTACAACAGACGGACAGACAGAGAGACGGACGGACGGGCAGGGCTTTTATAGACTTTTTTGGGTCTAAATTTATTATTTCGATGAGTTACAAACGGAATGACAAACTAAATATACCCTACATACTATGTTTGTTGAAGGGCTTAAAAATTGTAAATTTTTATTACTAAAATGAACGAATCTAAAATTTTAAGGTGAATTTCCCGCTAACGAAGATTCTGGCACATAAATATGTTTCCAATTTTTCTCAGTGTTCCTTCTTTGCTCATATCTTGTCAAGTACACATTTCATTTTTGTCTTGCTTGAGAATGAAATGGAAAAAAACGTAATGAAATTAAAAGAAAATACATTCCTTTATGTCTTCAGTTTTTTTTTTTTTTCGTCTTCGTCTTTTCTTTTTGCTGAAACTAATTGGTATAGTTTCGTAATTTTCATTTTCCTTTCCTTTAACAAGACGATGCGTAAACGCACACACACACGAGTTGTCTGCGTTATGCTTTTATTTAAAATGTGATTACCCAGTACTTTTCCCTCAGTTGTTGTGATTTAAAATAATTTAATAAGTTTTGGTCAAAATTGCGTTACTTTTGTGTGTGTGTTTCTTTTTTTTCTGAATTAATTAGAAATATGTGCTTCGGTTTTGCGTTAGTAATGAGATCAGAAAATTTTTATTAGCAGACCTTCACAGTGGTTGACGTTCCGTGAAGATGAGACAGAAATTATCAATTAGTAATAACAATGCTTATGATTTGCGGTAATTATTGTTGCAAGAACTGGGGCAAATGATCGAACGTGGAATACAATCCAACCATTAAACGTGAATTTTCCTAAGAATATTTTTTGAAGAACGAATCAAGCATCAAACGTTGATGCTATAGTAATGTTTTCTTCAGGAAGATCCATGGTGGCTAAACCATTGTTCAAAGAATTTAGTATTACTTTTGAAGAAAAAATGTTCAAGGGTCATCAATCCGTCAAACCTGGATTTTATAAAAAAAAATCTGATATGAAACAACTATCAAACATGGATTTTTATACCCTCCACCATAGTATGGAGGGTATATTAAGTTTGTCATTCCGCTTGTAATACCTCAAAATATACATTTTAGACCCCACAAAGTATATATATTCTTGATCAGCATAAAATTCTATGTCGATTTATCAATGTTCGTCCACGTCTTCGTATAGCCCCCATATAACGGTACCTCCCAATAATCGGTATTTTAATGATTTTAGCGACATTATTTACCGGAATTGTTTCACATTTGGTATTTGAAGTTCGTAATAGATACTACTGCATAAAACAGAAAATGAGCCATGTAGGTCCACGTATCCCATATAACGGTCCCATATAACGGAACCCCCCGATATTCGGTATTTTGATGATTTTAGCGACTTTATTAACTGGAATTATTTCAAATTTTGTATTTGAAGTTCGTAGTGGATACTATAGCCTATGACAGAAAATTGTCTGCGCAGGTCCACGTTTTATAACCCCCATGGTACCTCTCTATATTCGGTATTTTTATGATTTTAGCTATATTATAAAAAGTTTTTTTTTTCAAGTTTCGCATTTGAATATTGTAGTAGCTTGTGACAAAAGCTATTATGCAGGAACACGTCATCGTACAGACCCTAATATACGGCTATATTCGGTATTTTTAAGATTTTAACAGAATTTTTAACGGATTTTATTTTTTTGAAAATTTTTAAATTTGTACCAAACCATTAAACGCGGATTTTGTATAAATATTTGTTTAAGGTCGAACAACCCATCAAAAGGGACTTTTTGTTGAATAATAAGAGTTCAACCATTAAATAAACACCTGTCGTGGATATTGCAGGAATATTTTTCAAGGACGATGTAACCATTTTAAACAAATTTTAATCAATGACGAACCAGAAAGCGATTGAGATTTTTTTTGAAACATGGCTTTTAAATAAAATATTTCCAGAAAAATGCATCATTTTTCAGACACAAAATATATTCTTTCGGTTTTAGTTCCAAAAAATGCGAATTCCCATGTTTTTCTTATTGAATTCTAATAATTTGCAATCGTTTGGTATTTTTAACTTTCCTTTTTGCCTTTGCTACCAAAAGATACGCATTATGGAGAGCAAACATTTTCAATTCTTAGAACATGTTGTTAGAGTAGGTATCCATGCCCTACACAACATAGTGGTAAGGGTATTATGTCTTTGTGCATTTGTTTGTAACATGAAGAGGGAAACGAGATAGACCCATGGTTCCTTTTGGTGATCAGCATAGATCACATTTTGAGTATATTTAGGCATGTCCGCCCGTCTGTCCATGTATTTTTGTAAACAAAACAGGTCGCATTTCTTATTCGATTGAGGTGAAATTTTCTAAATAGGATTTGTTTGGCTCAAGGACGAACCCTATTGAAATTGGTGAAAATCGGTCCAAGTTTAGATATACCTCCCATATGTACCTTCATCCGATTTTAGGTTTCTTATGCACCAAATGGTGTGAATATTTCTACATCCGGCCGAATGTGCTTCAAATTTGGCGAAAATCGGTTCAGATATAGTTACCATATATATGTTTCATCCAAATGATAACACACCCTCCAGAATATTTTCTCGATAATATTCGGCATTTATTTTATTGTCACGGACGATTAATACGAGCGGCTGTTATGGTGGCCCACACCATCACCATGGCTTGAGCTCTGATGGCCAACAGAAGGTACACATTTTCAGCTGACCTCTTTGGCAAGTAAACACGATCATTTTGTTTGTTTACAAACTGTTGGACAAGGAATGTTTTCTCATCGGAGAAAACCAAATTCGGCAGTTTACCACTTTCGGCCAAACGAAGCAACTCTTTAGCTCTTTTGTGTCTATTTTCTGTCTGTTGCGATGTAAGTTCTTGCACTTTTTGGAATTTCAATGGCTTTACCCCGAATAACTTTTTTTCTGGAAAATTCTCACCAAAATGCTTATATGTCTTTCGGTACCTCGATTAATACGAGCAGAGGCATCAGAATAAATGCCGAATATTATCTTGATCAGCGAAAAATTCTAAGTCGATTAAGCGATGTCCGTCTGTCTGTCTGTGGTAATCACGCTATCTTTCGAATGAATTGAGATAGATGGCTAAAATTTTGCACACATGTTTATTTTTCCAGTAGGCAGGTTAAGTTCGTAAATGGGTCCACGTTTTCATATAGCCCCTATATAACGGTACCTCCCTATATTCGGAATTTTGATGATTTTAGCGACATTATTCACCGGAATTGTTTCAAAATTGGTATTTGAAGTTCGTTATGGGAACTACAGTCTGTGACAGAAAATTGTCTGTGCGGGTCTTCGTATAGGCCTCATATCAGTACCTCCCTATATTCAGCATTTTAACGAGTTTAGGAACAATACCCACCGAAATTGTTTGAGATGTGGTATTTGAAGTTCATAATGGATGCTACAGCCTGTGACAGAAAATTTATTTAGTCACATTTAGTTTATTTCAAGTTTCCAATTTGAAAATGGCAATGGCTTATGACAAACAATGCCAATATATGTCCACGTCGTATAGACCCCAAAATAACGGCTATATTCGGTATTTTTAAAATTTTAAAAGAATTTTTTAAGGATTTTATTTTTTCAAAATTTCTAAATTCATTGCAAATGGTGGAGGGTATTAAAAGTTCGGCCCGGCCGAACTTACTGCTTTTTAACTTGTTCGCTTTCATTTAATAAAATTTAAAAATTATGGCGTTTGATTTTGTTACAGTTTTTTTTTATCTCGCCCTGTAGAGAACTTTACCCAAATTTGGACTCATCTTCGGGACAAGCAAATGAACTGTGCAACATTATAATCGGTCAATGATTTTTACTTTGTTTACAAAAATGCGTGAATCGACTCAGAATATGATTCTATGGATATCATCAAAAGAAACTATGGCTCTATTTCGATTCCAGCTACATGCTACAAACAATTGCAAATAAACATGATACCTTGTTCCACAGTGTGGTGTGGGTCATAAAAATCAGAGCTCTGGCATTATTAGTAATTTTTTGTAGTATTCGTCCCTTTTTTAATACCTCCGACCCAGGGTCGAGCCTTACCTTATATCTCAAGCTTCTAACTTCAGCCGTTTCGTGTATTGTGATTTGTGATGTGAAACCATAAGTTAAGTTCCAAATGAAATATATCCCAATCTTATTTCTTTAAGACATATCCCCTCCCCACTCCAAAAAAAAAAAAATCTTCCCCAACTCACCTGACACTGTTGTGGACCGTGACGACTGGGCGCCGATATCTTTGAGCGATTTTTCTTTAAAATTTTCGCTGAATTTGCAGCGTTACTATTTGCAGCTGACGCCGCTGCTGCAGCTCCTCCCGCTGCCGCTGCTGCTGCGGATTGTGATAACGGCGATGATGACAGTGGGCCACAAGGAACTTTTCTTGCACCGTGACTTAACGAAGTTATGCTGCGGGCAATCGAGTTACCGCTGCTGCTATTGCTGCTGTAGCTGAAGCAGCTGTCGTTGCTGCTGGAGCTGAAATTACTGTTGCTGCAGCTATTCGCGTTGTTGCTGGCTGGGTTGTTAAGTTGTTGTAACAAAGTACCGTTCGAATGATTTTGGGAATTCAAAGAGTTGTGGTTGTTGTTGCTGTTTGAGTTATTGTTGTTGCTATTGCTGCCATTTGATGATGACGTACTACTATTGCTCATTATCTGAGCCAGGGATGTAATGTTGGTTGTGTTGCTGCAACTGCTGCTGCGTATCAGGCAATTCTTGATGTAGCTGTTGGTCTTATTGACACTGGTGGTTGTTGTATTCGTCGACGTGGAGACCGTCTGCACCGAGGAGGCTATGACACGGTGGCTACTACTGCTGCCAATGTTGGTTACATTGTTGCCGGTGTTGTTGTTGTTGTTGCTGCTATTGGGGGAGGTACGCTTGCTAATGGTAATGCGGTTCTTCAGAGAACCATTTAAACTTGTGTGGATTATTGTATCACTGTTGCTGTTTTGGTTGCTACTGGAACTGGTGGAGCCATTCAATTTTGAGGAATTCACTTTTGTACTTTCACTGGCACTGACACTGGTATTTTTCAATGCTGTAATGAGGGGGGAAATTTTTGGGAAAATTAATATTTTTCTTAGGAAATTTTCAATGTGGTATTTCTATCCATCACTTACACGCTGTTTGTAATGTTCCCAAGACATCAGCCAACATTTCTGGATCTGGATAACCAATGGTTAATGCATTATCCAGTGTCGTGGCTGTTTGGGCATTTGTCGTCTGTGACTGGGCAGGTGTTGTGGTCTGATGTTGCTGTAGCTGATGTGTCGAATGCTGGTGTGGGTGTTGATGTTGTTGTTGGGGTGCTGTTGACGTTGTGTGACCAATGTAATGGGAGGCTGCTGATGAGGCGGACGACTGATTGGAATCATTGGAATTGACATCTCTCAGATGAAGTGTCACAGAGGCTTCGGTGCCCACAGAAGCACTACACATCAGCACCCGGGGCGCCGATGATAAACTTGTGGTCAATGGCAGGTGAATACTTTTGGTAACCTAAAAAACAAAACAGGTATAAGAAAAAGAAACAAAATATTAAAGACTTGTTGTAGTTGTTTTGAAAATTAGTCATGTCTTTATAAAATATATTCTCTAGGAAATATCTAAATCTTGAAACCTTTAATTTGTATTTGTCATTGTTACAAAATGTTTTTCTTTTACTGCTGCTGCTGCTGGCGGGGGTGCACTTCAACGTAATTTGTTGCTTCCTACAAATCTTGTCATTTCGTTTCGGTTGCGCCAACATTTCGTAATTAATTAGGTTATTTGTTACACTTTTGCGGGATGTTGAAAATTCACAAAATTCTGATTTCTTAATATTTTGTACTAATCTTGAGGCATTGCCTTTAGAATGTGGGATGCTAGTAATAATCATCTTGATGAAAGCGGAAGAGTTTTTTTTTCGCTGTGAAATTATTACATTTTGTATTTCAAATTTTCAAATTTTCAAATTATCTATTTTGTCACTTGACAATGAACGATCATGTTGAATGTAATAAATTTATCAAATAAGTCTTCATAATGAAAAATAATTAAAAACCAATAAAAAATATTTAATTTAAACACATCGAACCCTTTATAGGCCTTTATTATCTATCATAATACCTAAATCAAAAATGTAAGTAATTTCATGTAAGCCCATAAAAAACGGCTAAAAAAAAGTATGACAAATTAGATCGAAATCGGTTCAGATATAGCTATAGCTCCAATATATATTGTTCATCCGATTTGTTATTTTTGTCCTCCGCAGCCGTAATATACACTCTGTAACAATAATATTTGGGGAAATATATCAAATACAGCTCAGAAATACCTTTGCTAAATTTTATCGAGATCGGTTCAGATTTGGATATAGCTCTCATATATAACTTCGTCTGATTTTCCTTTTATTGTGCACCAAACGTCTAATATTTGTCCAAATGGGATGGAATTTGGCACTTATTTCCGAATTGAGTCCAGAAGCTAGTATGTCTAATTTGGTGAAGATCGGTTCAGATTAAGCTATAGCTCCCATATATATTGTTCATCCGATTTGTTGTATTTGTTACCTACAGCCGTAATATGCACTCCGTAACAACGATATTCAGGGAAATATATGAAATACAGCTCAGAAATATATTTGCCAAATTTTATCGAGATCAGTTCCGATTTTGATATAGCTGCCATATACATATCTCTATCCGATTTCAAATTAATTATGCAACAAATGGAAACTACACGTCCGAATTTAAAAGATACAAATGCTTCAGCATATTTAGTCCTTTGCTCTTTAAATTATAATTATTATATATTATCATAGCGTGTATGATTGAATTCTCCCATAAAAACTTTTAATTGTTATGCGGAGCTCTACTAAATTAGCAAATTGGTGTAGGGTATCATAAAGTCGGCCCCGCCCGACTTAAAGTCTTTCTTTACTGTTTTTTTTTTTTAAATTTTTGTCACATTTTTATCGCATGCGATTTTTTCAATTTGACTTACAATTTTGAATTGAAATTATTCTAAATTTTTACACTCCTCAACACTACGCTTTGAGGGTATTATATGTATGTCGCAATTATCGTCCGATTCTCACGAAATTTTGCATGGGTTAGCGTTAGGGTCAGAATTAAAGCCTATTGTTCTTAAGATATTCAAATGCTAAGTTCGGCCGGGCCGAACTTTTAATACCCTCCACCATTTGAAAGGAACTTGAAAATTGTCAAAAAAAAACTTCCGCGAAGAATATACGGAGACGTGGACCTGCTTACGAAATTTTTTGTCATAGGCTGTAGAACCCATTACGAACATCAAATACCAAATTCGAAACAATTCCGGTTAAAAAATCGCCAAAATCCTCAAACTACCGAATATCGGGACGTACCGATACATAGGGGATATACGAAGGCGTGGATGTGCATGGACAATTTCCTCCCTGTCTGGCTGAAGTATCCATTACGAACATTAAATACGAAATTTTTTGCAATTCTGGTGAATAATGTCGCACAAATCATATAAATACCGAGTATTGGGAGGTACCGTCCTATGGGGACTATACGAAAACGTGAACCTTCACACGCATTTTTTTTGTCATAGGCTGTAGTATCTATTACGAACTTTAAATACGAAATTTGTTGCAATTCCAGTGAATAATATCGCACAAATCATACAAATACCGAGTATTGGGAGGTACCGTCATATGGGGGATATACGAAGACGTGGACCTGCATACAAAAATTTTTGTCATACGCTGTAGTATCCAATACGAACTTCTAATACCAAGTTTGAAACAATTCCGGTAAATAATGTCGCTAATATCATCAAAACACCGAATATAGGGAGGTATCATTTTATGGGGGCTATACCAAAACCCTACACCGACAATTTTCTGTCATAGGCTGTAGTATCCATTACGAACTTCAATTACCAATTTGAAACATTTCGGGTGAATAATGTCGCTTAAATCATCAAAATACCGAAAATATGGAGGAACCATTATATCGGGGCCATACCAAAACCTGGACGTACATGACCCATTTTCAATACCAAAAGTCTTGCAGACATTATACACATTTGAGTAAAATTTTATCAACCTACTTCATTTCGTTCAGAAGCTAGAGTGATATCCACAGACGGATGGACAGACAGACAGACGAACATCGCTAAATCGACACAGAATTTTATTCTGATCAAAAAATATATATACTTTGTGGGGTCTAAAATGTATATTTCGAGGTGTTACAAACGGAATGACAAACTTTATATACCCTCCATACCATGGTGTATAAAAAGTGTTTGAAAAAAAAAAATAATAATTGAAATATATCTGCAATGCATGAACCATCATCCACACACCTGTGGTCGACAAATGCGAGTGGTTTTCATTCTAAAAATAAATATAACTCAACATTTTTCCAAAGAAATTCTCTGTTTCCGGAAAAACACTAAAATGTCAATGGGTAACGAAGTGGCAACGTCCACTGACGGATGATGGTGCACCTGTGGTGATTGATAGTTTGAAGGATGGGGTTGTGGATGGTTGATGGAAATATTTTATTTAAAAAGGCTTTTAAAAAATTAAAAATAAAATACAGAACCAAAACTTAAAAGTCTATGAGTCTATGGAAAAGATAATTTAATGAATTGAAACCCACAGTTGTTGTTTTTTTTATAAAAAAAATATATTCTTGATGTTATTTTTTGCAATGTATTTATAAAAATATTCAAATATATGTCAAAATATAAAGTACATGCGGTTTGCAAATAAATACATATGTATGTATGATTGTACATAGGAAAGAAGAATGCATCATGCAAGCGAACAGACCGTCAGACGGAGGGCCATACGACGAAAGACTATGAAACAGTAGACAAATGCCGTTTGTATTCGTATTTACATAGATTTTATTCTTTTGTATTTTTTTTTATTTTTTTCTTCATCAGACAATTCGTTGTGCCCTAAATCCATTCTAAACAAACAGGACCATATGACAGAGATAAGAAGCCAAACATGTTTTGCATTCTTATTCTGTTTTGTTGTTGTTGATTTTGTCTTTTGCAACATGAATTCTTATACGATTGGGACTGGCCAACAGAACACACAGCATCACAACTCAAGTACAAATTTATGCAAAATCTAAGAAGAAATGCGCTTTTAGCCAATTGTAGATGAAGATATATTCACATACATCCATACATACACAATTTTTTTATAAATATATGTATTCATAGAATGCAAACAAAAAATGATGTGTTTTATAAAATTCTTACGACATTTGCAGTTGTTTTAGCTCATTTTAATTTATTCGATTCCCTTCTAGATTTCCAATAAACTTCCCAAAATACACTTGAGAGCTGTACGAATCCAATTACCCCTAAGCGAGGTAATTTATACCAACTACCTTCTGCATCAGCATCAGTTGGAAATAATGGATAATTCCTTTACGCAGATACAAAGAAAAAGAGTCTACTTTCCTAATTACGAAGTAATAAGTAACGTCGACATACAGTGTATTTGACCGACTACAAAAATTTTGAGGTCTGGAGTCGGCGTCTGTAAAATAAGAAAAAGTAAGAAAACACAGTAAAGAAAGTCTTAAAGTCGGGCGGGCCGACTTTATGACAACCTACACCACTTTGCTAATTTAGTTGAGCTCCGCATAACAATTAAAAGTTTTTATGGGAGAATTCAATCATACACGCTATGATTAGAATTATAATTTAAAGTTCAAAAGACTAAATATGCCGAAGCATTTGTATCTTTTAAATTCGGACTTGTATTGCCCATTTGGTGCACAATTAATTTGAAATCGGATAAAGATATATGGGAGCTACATCCAAATCTGAACCGATTTTGATAAAATTTGGCAAAGATATTTCTGTGCTGTATTTCATATATATCCCTGAATATCGTTGTTACGGAGTGCATATTACGGCTGTAGGTAACAAATATAACAAATCGGATGAACAATACATATGGGAGTTATAGATATATCTGAACCGATCTTCACCAAATTTGACATACCAGCTTCTAGACTCAATTCAGTCGTAAGTGTTAAATTTCATTCCATTTGGGCAAATATTAGACGTTTGGTGCACAATAAAAGGTAAATCGGACGAAGTTATATATGGGAGCTATATACAAATCTAAACCGATTTTCATCAAATTTGGCATACTTATTTTCAGGCCTAATTGGGGTGTATATGCATAATTTCATACAATTCGGGCTGATATTACACGTTTGGTGCACAATAAAAGCTGAATCGGACGAAGATATATATATGGAAGCTATATCTAAATTTTTACCGATTATCTCCAATTTCAATAGGGTTCGTTCTTGGGCCAAACAAATGATTTGTGCAAAATTTCATCTCAATCGGATAATAAATGCGACCTGCATTCTGTTCACAAGAATAGGTGGACAAACGAACGGACGGACAGACGGACTGACATACATAAATCAACTCAGAAAGTGATTCTATGGAGATCCTCAAAAGTAACTATGGGTCTATCTCGC